AGTAATGTCAATGACAGATGTTGACACTGTCACTAATATTTTTCTGGTAAATTACTTCACGCACTAGTGCGTAAAGTGAAAATACTTCACGCACTAGTTCGTAAAGTATTTGTCTAAATCTATTTTTTCACACATATTTGATTGGTAGTAGAAAAAAATTTGTATGCAATATGTACGTAAAGCACCTTTTTTCACTCATGTGATTGTAGCACTCGCCTTCGGCTCGTGAGTCAAAATTCACATTCGTGAAAAAAGGTTCACTTTACACACTTGTTGCATAAATAACTATTTCTACGAGCGTGCCAGAAGTGCTTCTTTCCGCACGCATTTAGGCACTAGTGCGGAAAAGTAAAATAATTATGCAATGTTAAGTCACATGTCCTGAAATGCGTGCGGAAAAGTACTTCTCTGCAGGGTCGTAAAAAAATAACTTTTCTTAATCATGCAGAAAATCACTTTTCCTCATTTAATTGCTACGCACACGCCCTAACTGACGTTTCATTTTAGCCGCCTCTGTCAACTGGCAGACTGTCACTGATCAACCAATGAACTATTATTATAAAAGTTCCGATATATCGAAAATATTATATCGATATTTTTTCCGATATATCGAATGTAAAATATCGATTAAAATATACCGATATATTTTAATAATATTTTAATTTCCACAAAATATCGATATATCATTGCTATTCCTACCCACGCGCAAAACTAAATTATATGGTATACGGGCAAGCGCCAGACTTCCCGTTGGGGGCCGGACGCATTTTTCAGTTTCCTATTTGGTTACCGCTACATGGGGCGCTAATCCTTTAGGACTTGTAAAATTATACCTGGCATCGCGTTTCCTATTAGGCCAGCGCACATTGCTTACGGCTACATGGAGCGATAATCATATAGGACTTGTTAAATTGTATCTGACGTCGCGTTTCCTATTAGACCAGCGCACACTCTCTGCGATCGTCTGCAGACATCCATTGCAATGCATTATCGTTGTCATTTTTCAAGGTTAAATGGTATGGTTACAGGTGGTGCAATAAGTTTGTGATATTTCTCGTTGTGTCTCGTTTTATTATTACTGTTGATTCTACACTGAGAAATCCTCTAACCAAAAACTCTACTAATGGATTTTCGGCTATCATAGAAAAAATTTTGGCTGTAATTGCAAAACGATCCTATTCTAGTAGTAAAACGCAGTTTACTAAGTTAGCAAAAAGTACCTTGGTTGTAACCTTCTTTACTGCCACTAATACTTTTTTCCTGTTACAGTAGAAACACTTATTAATAATAATAGTCCAGGCGGCAGTGAAATTTTTTAGCACTTATTCTCCCAATTGGTATCTATCCAATGCTTTGTTCTCCTGGTGATACAAAACAAGAATTTTTTAGTCTGGCTAAAATTTTCGGATGGGTTCACATGATCACTGAATAATACAAGTACGCTAATTTTCCGAGACATAAATATTTCACATTTACTACAATAGAACATAAAGTATATGAAAATAGCAATTTGGCTTATCTCAGACAGTGGAAGTGAGTCGCCGGACTATTTTTTTACGTAACTTCAGTATATTTCTCATTAGTAGACCTATTTTTATCACTGAGAAAAAAAAAGGGCCGTCCATTTGTAAGCTTTAACGCATTTTGCGCTTCAACCCATCGGAAAACCCCTCCTAAAAATATATGTATTTTGCTTAGAATTACTAACCCTACAATTCTATCCATGTTGTCTGACTAGGAAAATAAGTACCGGAAATCGTCACTGCCTCCTAGACTATAAGTATATTTTTTACCGCAAAGTGCTTGCCTGCAACTATGAAAAAGTTTTTCATAAGTTTTTTTTATTACTGCTGGAAAGAATTTCACTGCTACAAAAAAAGTTAAACTCTGCAAGTTGTTTTATTAACTATTATTGAAAACCAACCCATCAATGTCAAAATTCATGTAACAGCATAAGGTTGGCAATATGGGCGTAGTTATTTAATTTGCGTGCGCTGGTCTAATGGGGTCAATAGGGTACGCGACGTCAGATATAATTTAACAAGTCCTAGTCCTATAGAAGTAGCACACCCTGTAGCGGTGGACAATGTGCGCTGGCCTAATAGGAAACGCAATGCCAGATATAATTTTACAAGTCCTAAAGGATTAGCGCTCTATGTAGCGGTAACCAAATAGGAAACGGAAACATGCGGGCCGGACTCTCCCGATTATTATCAAAGAATAGAGATGGAGAATAGTAGCATAAAGTAATAGAGCATAGAACTGACCACAAATAACGGAAGGACAGATGATCAGATGGACAGAATGCCATACACACAGCACACCACTTGCATAATTCTTATACAAAGTTGTGTAATACGTCCCATGGGTGCTCCGCACCCATGAGAGGTTGCTCATGGGTGCACCTGCTCCGATGCCCCCATGCAGTCGGCGCCAGTGTTAGTGTTGACGTCTTTCTGTTGACTCTCTTTCCGAGACCTTAGGTCAATAACAAAACCATTGGGTTAACTTCACAACTAGAATCTCTTTTCCAACATGTATCTTACCCTGAATAACAAGGCTGTTTTGTCATTCCCTCTTGTCGAGGACGCCCGTGACTTTTACCCACTAAGAATTATAACCTAGTCTTTATTTTCTGTATCTTCCAATCTTTAATTTCTCATTTGTACCATCAAGGAACGCCTTATACAGGACACTCATTGATTTCACTCTTTATCATTTCAAATTTCCGTATGTATTTTCTTTCATTTCATTTCAGTAAACATTGTTATTAACCTTCTGTATATTCTTTACTTTTCTACCATTTCCTCACCAAGATTTACCATTTGTTCAATAAACCATTGTTAGAGTTTAATAAGAAAAACTGATTCTTTTATTTCCTCTGATGGAAAACCTCGAGCTAGCATTCCAACTAACTGCGTATAGCTCAGGTAGCAAGAACCCGCAATGGAAGAGGCAATCTAATCAGATTACTAAAGGGTATTCGTTCAAAGTTACCTAGATTTTCAGTGGGACTTTAAACAAAGTCCCTGCTGGCACGCTACCGCAGTACAAAAAGGCCTTTACCAGTGCTAAAATAAAGTCTCCTTTACCCAACCGTTGCAACCAGGTGGCAGTGGTAACAAAAATATGAAAGAAGAATTGGGGTGCATGAAAGGTGTTGAAATGGATATTTTATTGAAAGATGATAAGCCTGTGACGTACAAGGTCTGTACGTGTAACGTGTAAATTATTCAAGAATCTAATTCATATATCATATTCCATTGTTCTTATTAAAAAGAAAAATGGTGAAATACGCATGTGCGTTGATTACAGAACTATGAACTCTAAATGTATTGAAGACTGTTATCCCATGAGAAGACCCGATGATCATTTAGAAATGCTGTCAAATGCCTGGTATTTTACTTCTCTTGGCCAGTGGGTATCACGAAATTCCCATATCTGAAGAGTCACGATAGAAAACAGCGTTCGTTACTCCAGATGGGAAGTACGAATACTTGCGTATGCCATTCGGATTGGTAAATGCTCCCGCCGTTTTCCAAAGAACGATTTACCAATATTCTAGGAATTGTTAATCATATAACTGCATAAGCTTATCTTGATGACATTCTCGTGCCTAGTTTTAATTTTGATTCTGGCTTAGAAGCATTAAAAGAAATCTTTGAAGCATTTAGAATTTTTGGAAAAACATTCAAGTTGAATAAATGTCAAAGTTTTTAATTTTCAATGCCAGCAACTTGAAAAAGGACTCTCAAAAATCCAACTTAAGAAAATTAGAGATTGTTGAAATGGCAATTTGATCGGTTTAACCTCTTCTAAGAAACCAAATTAAGATTTTCCATATTATATAAAATCTTGAAAAACATAATGCAGCTTTTGGTTCACAAACTATTGCGTAGTTCCCATTCATGAAAAAAATATAATAATGGATTAAACATTCGACCTTCAACATCGAATACGTAACATCTTCAAGTGCACTAGGTGAAGATGATCCCGCCATCTTCACCGTTGCCATTTTGTTTACTTTCATTAGGTTTCATCTTCAACTCGTTTACTTAGTTCGACAACGTTGCGAGATTTAAATATTCGATAGAAGAAAGAGGAAGTGTGTCACGGTCTTGTAGAGGACCTTATCGAAGAATTCAAGAACTTTCTCTTACTTTTTCTCCAGTGGTTGGACGGATGCGGCGAGAAAAAAAATTGTTGATTTACCGCACCTGTCTTTTGATGAACTTGTTTTGGAATGGATGTAGAAAGGAAAATCTCATCTCATCAGCATCAGGATGGAAGGGCATTAAATTTGCCAGGAAATTCGATCTGAATTAGTAATAATAAAACAGAGAAAGCAGTGTGCTTATATAACTTATACTTGTTTTAATTTAAAAACAATTATTATTAATTACAATTATTATTCGTCCTTGCTTGAGACAAAACAACTAAATGAGTATTTATAGAAACTGCTACAAAATAAATTATTTGTATGTTATAGGCACCAAATTATCACTAATAATGCATCTAATTATTAAACTAATTGCTCGTGCGTTTACGCTTCTTTTCATTGAAAAGTGAAAAAATTACCAGAGCATGTTTAACTAATAACATTTTAGTAAGTAAGTGGAGCAAGTACAATTGTCATTATTTTGTTATTACTAATAAAGCTTTCTTTTTTTTTATCTACAATTGGTTTTTTGCATGCTTTTTCAATCAATGAAATCATTTGAAATTTGTTTATTAGTTGAATAATTATTAATCTAAATATAAGAGGATATTCACAGTTTTAACGAAGAATTTCTAATATTATCACAAATCACACGTTTTTTTAGTGTAAACTTTCTATTATAGGTAGTAAGCATTGAAGCATGGAATTATTTTTCAAATGCAAGAAATCTATAAGTATCTTATTTACAAGGATATCCTCTCCAATTGAATTCAAATGCAACAAAAATAATTACAAATAAATGTAATTTAAATTACCGCAGATTTATGTAAAACAATCAAATCGTTTCGTGCAACAAATTTGTTTGGCATTGTGTGTAAACAAAGTCTTTGGTTCAAATTGCTATAATTTGCGTATAAGTATATATAAAAAGTGAGCCTTATAGTTTGGGATGTTATGTTGTTTTAAATTATTTTTGTCCAACATGTGGGTAAGTAACAAAGTTTGTTCTTAAAATATAGTTACTTGATGTGAATTTCGAAAAATTGTTGCTGTAAATCTTCAATGAACAATGACAATGATTTTCAGTTTTATATAATGAACAAAAAGATAGTGTTAACAACCACAGATTAAAGTCTTTGTTACCTTCTGGGTGTACCTATGCCTGTGGCTGAACAAGCCAATTCTAGAAGATATTATTCTTCCACATTCCTAATTTTCTCCTGGCATATTCCAATGCGGCCTATCTGGTGTGTCCTCTGTGAATGTAGCAACAACTCTCCTCCATTTTTTACGCGGTCCTGCGCAAGATCTTCCCAATTACCTAGAATGTTAATAGATTTCAGATTGTTGTGGAAGACATCCTTAAAGGGGGTGTGACCCTGAGAAACGACTTAAGCTACCTACTTAAATCAAGGAAAAAAATCTTAGATCTCTCGTGAAAACCGCAATCCTATATTCAAAATAGTCTCCGAGAAAATTGCTTGTGAAGATAAATTATGCAGGAGCTTGTGATGTCACAACCTCCGAAATCGCAGTCTTCTTGTTCGTTCAATCGTCAGTGAATCTTAACCTATATCTTAAGTGGTTGCAATGCGCTCTAGGAGATAATTGTCTTTTATTTGAAAAATTATTACGCGTTGTAATACTGTCCCTGATAATCCTGTGTGACGTCACAAACGCTTAGTTGTAACTTTAAACCGCCCTAACTCGAAAACGGACCAGCGTAGCAAAATGCGGTTTAAATATTTATTCTTAGATTTTTTTGCACTAAAACTTTCATTTTTGGATCCCCCCCTTTAAAACGCTTTAATTGACCACCCTGTTTGCGTCAACCTTTCGCAAGCTCACCATAGAGGACACATTTGGGTAGACGATTTTCGGGCATGCGAGCCACGTGACCTGCCCACCTGAGGCGGCCTTGTCCAAGAATGTCTGAGATGCTTCTACACTTAACTCCTGGAGTACTTCTATGTTTGATATTTTATGAAACCATTGTATGTGGTTGAAGACGCTCTAGAGCTTTGATGTGTCTTCTGTATGGCACCCGGATTTCACAGCTATTGTTAATGCTGGAATAACTATCGCGACCTTCGTGGATATAGCAAGGTCATTATTGTCAAAAGTTCTGTTCCTAATTCTCCAAAAAGCTGCAGTGGCGCTATTAATGCGATGTTGGATTTCTTCATTGATGTTCCTTTGTTGTTCATTATGCTACCAAAATAGTTGAAGTGATCTACGTTCTCCAACGCGCTTCCTTGAATATAGATAATTGCGTTTTCTTGCACTGGTGGCGTGCGGTCATTATCTTGGTTCTATTAATATTTATTTTCAGACCTAAAGCTTCGTAGGCCCACGTGTAGGTTTCGAGGATTATTTGCAGCTGTTCAGATGACTCAGCCAACACACCGCAATCATTATCAGCATAGGTACACGATCTAGTCTTAGCTCTGAGCCTTTTAAGATTAAAGAGGCTTTCGTCAAATCGGTAATTAATTGCTATACCTTGTATTTATAGCTTGATGTCTACCATTATGGCTAGCGCAGTGACAAAAATATTGAAAAGAACTGGGGCAAGTACACACCCTTGCCTGGACTCCTGTTTGTGTTAGAAACGGGTCAGTGGGTTCACCATCTATTAAAACTCTTGCCCATTTCTTGTCATGGAGACTCTTGCATATTTTTAAGAACCTTGGAAGTACGCCAATGCTCGCCAGGATTTTCAATAATGCCTTTCTGCTAATAGAATCAAAAAGCCTTTGCCAAATCTATAAATGCCATACGTAATTGTGACTGCTGTTCTTTGGCCTTTTCCTGGAGCTGTCTAAGGGTGAAAATCAAATCTGTTTGGTCTAAACCCACATTGTGTCTCTGGTAGAATGAGGTTTACATATTTTGACAATCTGGTTGTCATAACCTTTGAGAGAATTTTTTCGCCAATAGAGAGCAACAAAGCTTCATTCTTGAATAATTAACTATGAATACGTCTCGGAAATCTTGAGTGACTTCGCCCTTAGTCTAGATTAAATTGAAAAAGGATTTTAGGTTTTCCATTGTTTGGTTTTGTTTGACGAGAGCTTTATATATCTCCGCTGGTATTTGGGTCAGCACCTGAAGCTTTGTTGTTTTTTAGGCTGTTAATTGCTTTTTGAATTTTTTCCTTAGATATATCATTATCTATTGGCATTGTTGGCTCATACTGCGGTATTAAGTTGATGACTGTCTCATCAGTTGTAGAGTGTTGATTTAGAACGGCTGTATAATGTTTTTTCCATTTATCTTTCATTAAGTTGCCATTATCATCCTTAAGTGGGGAAGCTTTTCGGTTCCTAATCCTAACACCGTAGACTTTCTTGACAGATTCAAAGAAGCTTTTTTGGTCGTGCTGATTAGCATATCCTTGGATTTGTTTTGCCTTGTCAGTCCATCACTTGTTTTTAATTTGCCTATTCTCCTTTTGAGTTGACTGTTTCACATCTTCATATTTTCTTTGTATGTTAATATTGTTGGGATTGTTTTGGACTGACTGAAACGCATTGTGTTTTGTGTCCAACATGCTCTTTATTTGCTGCAAATTTTCGGAAAACCAATCTTCTTGTTTTTTGTTCCCTGTAACTCTTACAACTGATGCATTTGATTCATAAAGCGAATCTTTTAGACCTGCCCAGAATGTTTCTATGTCCTCAAAGTCGTTAATAGGTAGATTCACTTAGTCTTGGCGTAGCCTTTTCCCTATTTCTGGAGATTTAAGTCGTTCAGTATGAATTCTCTTTCTGGCTTTTGCTTGTTTTTTGCTTGCTGTATGGAGGTTTTAGGTTTGCCAGAATTTTTGAGATTATGAGACGAAGATCGGTGTTACGGTTTTTGTGATTTTTTACTTCTTTTAAGTGCTTTCTCTTGATTATAACGTAATCAATCATGTGCCAGTGTCCAGATCTTGGATGGCGCCCATTGTATATTTGTTTCTCTGTCTGAACTGCGTGTTGGTTATTGTCAAATCATGTTCAACGCATTTAGTTAGTAGAAGCTCACCGTTGCTATTAACCTATTCCGTACCTACCAATTACATTAGGCCAGATATCAGAATTTCTGCCTACTCTTGAATTAAAGTCACCCAACAAGATTATTCGGTGGCTTTTTGGAATGTGTCTGAGTACATGTTCAAGTTGTTCGTAAAAGGTTTCTTTAGTTTGTTGCTCAGAATCTAAAGTTGGTGCGTAAACACTGATTATGTGAACAAAGCTTTGGTCTTGCAACTGATACTTTAGCGTCATTAAACGTTCTGATATACCTACCATGGGGCAGTTCAGTCAGTCTAGGCATAAGGCTGGTTTTAATAGCAAAGTCAACGCCATGGATTTTTGTTGACCCTTCCAGAAGAAAGTGTAATAACCGTCCACTAAACTTCCTTCCTCGAGAAAGCGAGTTTTGCTAAGTGCTACCAGATCTATGTTTAAGCGTTCCAACTCTAGAGCAATAATGGCCGTTCTTCTTTCTGGTCGGTTTGATATGTGTCGGAGTAAGTGTACGAATGTTCCATGCATCACAAGTAAATATTTCTTGGGTCTGACGTTTCTGTTTCTGACGATGACTTGTTTGAGCAGACACCTCCTCCCCCGGAGATCCGAGTGAGGAGGTATTTTGACTCCGGATAATTTTGTTCCACTAAAACGATCCATCTTTTTTTTAGCGTGTGTAGGTATATAGCCAGAACTAGTACGCTGCTATCCCAGCTTTGGTTGCAATGACTTAAGGGCCTTGCCCATGGCACAGATGATTTGTAAATGCAACTTTGTTGCCTCTAATCATCAATATTTGGAATCTCTATTGGCGCCCTTTAAAGCCTGAGACGAGGCTTTGCTGCTACGCTATGTCCGCCAGTTTCCTGTGTCTATTGACCTGGCTCGTGGCTCGCCTTCCATACCGCAACAGTCTTCGTGCACTTTGAGTAGGAGATACTACTCCAGACCTAACAATTGTCTTTTGGGTCCCCCTCTACCTCTATGACTTTTCAGTTTTCAGCACCGAAAATTATTACTAGACTTTCCACCTTGAACACAAACGCACAGAACATATCACCTCTAGAAAAGTATCTGCAATGTTATGTACCGGTTATGAATTACAGCGCCATTGTTGACTGAAAACCCAACTAATCGAGCATTCTTGACAAAAAGGCGAATTGATTTTTTTCATATATTTTTATTATTTTTAAATAATTTCTAATGTTCAACTGCATTTGGCTTGCTGACTCCTTTTAGCTCTTTTCGCCTCATTTTTTTGAAAACTATGACTGGCAGGAAGTTTCCGATGGCGAACATAGTGCAAAAAGAGTTAGTAAGTTAGCAAGAGACACGCAGCTATAGGTAGATCGCAATACGAACAAAAATTAGGGTTTTTTTCAACCAAAACTTTTTGAATTTTCACTTTAAACGCGCGTGGGGACCATGGTTTACAACAACACAATTTAAAAATTCAAATTTTGACTTTTAAAATGACAAAACTAACCAACACAAATCACTGTCTACACCACAGATACCTGTAAATTTCTCTTATCTCCCAACAGTGTCGCCATCGTTGACTAAAAACCTAACTAAAAACCTTCATCGCGATTCTCCCTGTGCACAAACGCTTTAGCTAGAATAGTGAGAATTTCATACATCTGTCAAAACTGGTAGGTATTCCAACAATAAACTGACATGTTTTGATTGTTGATTTGAATCAATCAGATTGGAATTACGGGATAATTTGCACTAGTGCAAATTATCAGATAATTGCATAGTAACTGGTGCGAAAACTGGTGCTTTGACATTTTTTTGACAAAAAATTTAAATTTTTGATTTATGAAATTCTCTCATTAAATACAACTCGTGCAATGGAAATATATTTGTAATTTTTGTGCATTCGGGCAAATTTCCCAAAAATTATCAATAATTTCCATTGCACTACTTACACTAGTTATGTTACTATTGATAATTTTCGGTGCTGTGAGCATACTGGTGACGTCATACTGAACTTGTACCAGAACAGGTGCAGTTTATGAAGAATAATAATTGCTCATTCAAATGATGTATCACTGAAACCTCTGGATAGGAGCATTAACATTCAATATTTTCTTCACAACGAATCAACAGAAATCAAATGAATTTACCGATTTTACCCATGAATTCAATAATTTTATTCAAACGCCTATGAAAAGTTTACAAACAATCACCATTCTGTCAGGAATATCAATATCTATTCGTTTTGAGTGTCGAAAGTTGATTATAGATGTCGCCTCTTTCGAGAGCTCTCACTAATACAGGGTGTTTCTGGATAGTGGGATCAAACTTATAGGATAAATAAATAGTAAGTACTCATCATTAAAATAGCAAATATAGAAACATGCGAACGCAAATGCTTTTAGGTAGTTTTTGAAATACCATACAGGGTGTCAAAGGTTGAAAAAAAAATAACGGCTTTTAGCTCAAAAATCCCTTAATTATTTTCCGGATTTTTTTAAAACTTGGCAAGTTTGTTTGTGGAAACAATGTACTGAATTATTCCAGTGACGTCCCAAAGGGCAGCTGTGTTGGGTGGTAAAAGTTAGAAAAAACGGCACAGCACTGGGATTTTTTAGCTAAAAATCTAATACTTTGACACCCTGTAACTCGAAAACTAATCATTCGCAGACCTATATTTCTATTAAATTTTCTTATTATTTTAATGAGAAGTTTGATCCCACTATACATAAACACCCTGTATAATTTAATTTCATAAAGTATACTTATCAATTTAACAAGGTAATCCAATATTCCTAACATGGCTCGTTGGTCTAGGGGTATGATTTCCGCTTAGGGTGCGGGAGGTCCCGGGTTCAAATCCCGGACGAGCCCAGTAACTTTTTTTTTTTGTTAAATCTTAATAAAAAATTGTCTTTTCTTTTAGAAATTGGTGCTCCTCTTCCTGGTGTCCCACAGCATTCTGAGCTGCAAAGGAGAAGTCACTGCAAAAACCAAATATACCACAAAATACGATAATGTCGATATCGATGAGGTGGTTCATAACGAAAGGTTGCTCAAAAACTACGTTAATTGTTTGTTGGAAAAAGGACCGTGCACTCCTGATGGATTAGAACTTAAAAGTAAAGTTTTCATATGGAAGGATGATTAAGATTAAGATAGATAGAAGACCCAAGAATACAAAATGTGTTTATTAGTTGTAGAAAAGATAATGGTTGCAGAAGTTCTTATTATGGTCTCACTTCTTGAATTCGATAGACAGCTTTTCCATAATTATGGGTTCTTTTTAATGGTTCTTCTTATTTTGGCAATAATTTATTCATATATTGAGTATTTTCTCTTTGTAATTATGCATGAGGTTTGATTGTTTGAACTAAATCAGCCTTTGGAACAGAATCAAAAAGGTTCCATGATAATGGAAATCATCAGTAGGTAATCATAACAGTAATGTAGTAATTTGAACAAAGAACTTTGGATTTCCATTAGGTACCATCTACTCAATATAGAGCCTCGATCCTTGTAGTGTAGATGTTGAATCCTTCAGTGTATTTCGTGAACTCATTTAAAGATTTTCCTGAAATGTGAAGTAGGTACCTACTGAGCTTGTGCTCTCTTTTCCTCCAAGTGTTTTAAGTCTTTTGTTTTTGGTTCTCATGTCTCTTTTTCCCTTGCTTTTGGTTTTCCCCCTTTCAGTTCAATGTATATCTTTTGGAGTAAAATTTATTCAGGGTCACTGTCATTGTCATTTATCAGAATCTATAAAAAGTATCTGGAACATTTTCGTGAAACTGTTTCATTTTGTAGATCAATCTACTCATCCGCTCTATGACTCTCTTGGTTCTTGAAGATGCTGAACAAAGTATATTTTATTTTCCTTTATGCAAAACACATTGTTTAGATTTTAAAGTCCCTTGTTGTTCGTATTTTATCGAGTATTTTATACTCACTTCTGTGAGACCCTAATTCAGAAACTTATATGATGTTGAATTGGCGAGCGGCGGCTTTTGTTTCTGAGTGGAGACACAGATTGATATGGGTCCTATTTGCGGGTGTGAGAGTAAAACACCACTGTGGACTATTATTTCAATATGATTTTATTTAAAATAAATTTATCGGGCGTCGGCCTGAAAGGCTTGAAATTTAATAACCAAAATTTCACTCTTTTCACATAAATACCTTAATTCTATTATAAAAATTCCAATAGGTAAGTTTCGTACCAAAAGTTTGCCTTATCAAAAATAATGTTAAATTAGAAAGTTCAAATTTTTTTCAATTATCAATCACGAAAATCCCAATTCAAAATGTTATAAATAATTATGAATAACGAAATATGTTTCAATAACAATAGTTCTTTTACAAAATTTAGCTTCAAATTTTCTTATTTTACCAACTATTAATCATGAAATATCATCTTAAAAATGTTTTAATTCCTTTTGGGATAATTATTTAACTTTCGTAAATTTATCAATTCATTAACTTTTTGTCCTATTTTATAAAGAGTACAAATTTCCTTTTTTTACAGTGTAAATGTACTTACAAGATGTATTTATTACTTTAAAATTCTACTGGCACACACGTAATTACTGAAACGTTATTTTTACGACTTGACTTTATGAACCCGAAATTTTCGCACTGCCTCTTTAAAACTTTTCGTACTATCTTCGACTTTGGACTCTGCTTGCTGCGTCTGACACTTGACTGACCGTTCTGGACTAACTGTTCTCGACTGACACTTTTGACCGTTCTTGACTGACACTTCTTCTGAACCGACACTGCTATTTTTATCGCAATTCAGGCTTTTTATATAAAAATTTTCTTCTTCCTTCCTTTGTTCTTTCGGCCTAATTTCTTCCCCAATTTTATGAGTGCTTTGACATCAAGATTTCCTCATCTCGGCCCTCTTTTAAGTGGAATGCGGTACCGTTTCTTCGTCGGCATACAGTACGCGCCTGATTTATGGTGCTTTCCCGGAATTTGGGTTCAGTGACAGATGGCGCCATGTTAGTAAAGTGCCGCGTTTCAGGGACATATTTCAATTGAATCATCTATTTTTGAGTGGACCCACTTATTCGTATTTTTGAGAAGGGATTTCAGTTTTTGTTGTTTCTTTATTCGATGGTCAGATCATTTGTACGTTACGTTTCCACGTTACTACACACTCTGACACTCAAACAACTCTTTAAAACTCTTACAAAATTCACTATCTAAATCGTATCACAGTCAATCTTACTAAAAATTACTAATACCTGCCTTTATATCCTTGTATAATCTAAAATAAACGCGATAATCTTTTTGCCCGAATAAAGCAGTTTCTTCTGGAATTTTAAGCATGGATTCTCTATACCATGGCGACAATATGATAAAATAATATACAGAAGCACGTAGTTTGATGTTTGATCTCCTCCGGTGATATTAACGTTTTTTAATAGTCACAAATGTAAAGGCCTGTTGGATAGAAATCCATGAAGGATAAGTGTGGTGGATTTTCTACCGCGCTTGTCAAGGGAGGAACTAATCCAAGTTAGAAGAGATTTCCTAGAATTACAGGTAGAAGAGGGCAAAAATTCTCTCAGATTTGGAAATGAGACAAATCAAGAGTTCGCAAATAGAATTCTATTTGTTATGGAAAGCTTATCTTTCGAATTTATTGATGATCAAAGGATAATATGTCGAAGAACGTCTCTGCTGCTATTATCAGGGTTAATCTCTCTTATTACACAACTTAATTTTTAGACTCAAATCTTTTTAGTTTTTCCGTTTGATTTCAGAAATATCACCATAATGATATCAGTTATCATCGTAATAAGTGTCCAATGTCCTAAATGTTTTTTTTTTGTTTGTAGAAAATATGCCTGATGCAATTGAAACAAATTGCAGCAAGTGCAGCGAGAAACAAAGAGAAGGATCAGAAGTAATGATGAGATACCTCATCGACAACAAACCAGAATACTGGAATCCCTTGCAAGAAAAATACGATCCGACTGGCAGCTACAAGCAACGTTATTTCGACAGTAAAAGAGTTGAAGTTGCAGTAGAACCTGTTGACAAAGCATAATTTTTGTTGTTTCTAGATAATATGGTATTACTATGTATTATAAATAAAAATCTCATTATGCAGCAAACATTTATTTATTACTACCTATTAGGCTTCATCAAGATCTGAATAATCTTCATCTTCAATAAGATATTTATTCTGGAAGCGGCCTTCAGGATCATATTTTGCCGTTAATTTATTCCAGTCGTCCCTGTGTTTGAGTAAGAGATGTGAAAACACTTTGCCAGCTATTTTCTTTTGGGCAGGACTACATTTTGAGCACTCAGTAGCAATAGCATCTGGTAAATATTCTATAATGAAAAATTCCAAATAATTACCTAAAACTCAAATTCAATTTAATAACTTACTTTTAAGTTCTTTTCCTTCAGCTGTACAAACTCCTTGGTCCAATAAACAATTTACGTAATTTTTCAATAATCTTTTGCTTGCCAAAATATTATCTACATCTATGTTGTCGTATTTGGTTGTGTACATTTCTGCAATGACTTTATTATCACCAATAATTAAAAATGCAAATATTAGCAGAAGGGCACTTATTGACGACATCTCAGTGCAATCTGTAGAAGCCAGAATTTTTTGAAAAGTGAACGTTTTGGTACCTTCAAGGTGGACAGGATTGTGATGAACTTTGATAAGCAATTAAAATTGCGTCAAATTATACAATTTCTAAATACTAATGATAGGCATTTATTATTAATTGAATATTGCGGCATTTTTCGTAGAAACATATTCTGATGAGGATTGTGTTCACTATGTAATATTCATTCGTTACTTCGTCAAGAAATAAGTGCTGCATATTGCAATCCAAATCAATGAGTTATTGGCCTTTCAATATAGACTAATTAACTGTCACCTTGAAATTTAGCAATCGATGATTTATGAGGACTTCGTATGCTAATAGGTAAAAAAGTTTCAGAATCAATAAATTAATTTGTATTTTTTTGGGTTGAAGAAGTTTTTGGGTTTTAGGTAGGTGCTGAACACGTTTTGAATGAAATGTTTTTCAAACTAATTTAACCTTGCTTACCTTTATCTTATCTGTTTTTGTTTTATTAATCGTTCATCTCTGAGCTAACATGTAAATTGAACTCCAGGAAGTCAGTGGAGTAAGTTAAGTAGAGATCCAGTTCTATATATTGACCAGCAGAAGAAATTTTTGGTATTATTGAAGCTGATCACCAATATATACTCCTAGACAAAATTATCGCACCTGCACATAAGCATCACATAAGCAGTGGTGCGATAATTTTGTCTAGGAGTATATATAGGATGTAGAGGTAGACTAAAGCTGGAAAATGGGCAAAATATAGCTACAGAATTTTTTTTTATCGATGGGTGATAAGATATTGAAGACGATGAGTCTCAATAAGCTTGAATTAATGACGCAGGAGGGAGAAAAAAATGACGAAAAGATTCGGATGATGGGCCAAAAAAAAAAGGTAAATGAGAATTTGGTCCAAACAAACAATGCAGAGATAAAGTTCGTTGACATTGGAGATAATACAGTTATCCACTTCCAGATATATGTAGATTGATCCAATGAAGCTGATCTATGTAAATATCATATATATGTAGGTACAACATAAAGCAGTTTTTACAAAATTACATAATTAAAAAATTACCTATATTGTTACTTGTTACTTTGTACTTGCCATTTCAAAAATTACTGCTGTTTTTTCTAGTAGCGATGTTTCATCTAGGTATAGGATGTTTTTGGTTTTCAATTCGAAAAAAAACCTTTCCGGACTAGATAGGTACCTACTGCAAAGGAAACCACAATGGGAACATGTCATTTCCGGGACTTTTGAGCAGAATTTTTTACAAGTGATTCCTCAATAAGCTCCTAAGAATCGAGATTCAAACTACAAGGAAGAAATATTTAAACGATATTTTTTTTTTTGTAAAATTTATAAATAGAAAAAAAAAATTAACCGGTTGTAAAGATACAATATATGAATCAAAAACAATCATATTCTTCCACTTCAAAAGAACAACAAGCGACCTCGCACAATCTCTAAAAGTCTCCAAGCAATGTGCATTCTCGATCGACAGTTCTTCGAGTAAACGTAATTAAGTACCGGTACCACCGCATTTATAAGTGTCATGGTTCTAATACTTTCGATACTGATCGGTATTACTTATTTGTATTTAGCCGGTGCCAAGCCTGCTGTTAAGTATTATGCCAGTAAATACGATCATATCGATGTCGAAGCGATTTTGAACAATCGCAGGATGGTCAATTATTATTCGAGTTGCTTGTTGAATATGGGGCCTTGTCCACCCGAAGGGGTTGAATTTAAAAGTAAGTATAGGAATTTTTGCTATAACTTGTATTGTTCTTATTCATTAATAAAATTCACTGTGTCGATGCTACTCAGCTTGGTTTTGACTCAGTCAACTTTTGTTTCCTTTGTCTAGCATTTTTGGAGTGGTAACGCAGAAGTAGAGTATAAAGTTTCTTTCTAGCTCAAATCTATAGAAACATTATTATGAATAAGCTCCTAATTGACATTACGTTTTTCTTCAACAACTGTATTATAAAGATTTTTTCTATAGGCATACTTGTATATACAAAATATATAAACCTGATAATAATGTATTAGGTACTTCAAGAAGCCTGACAGAGTTTCTTTGGAGTAAATTCTTAAATGTATATGGAATCTCGCACAGAAATTTTAGCTAATTTAAAAGTCAAACAACAACAAACTTTCTCGGTTATGCTAACACTTTCTTTATTACTTCATAAATTAATCGATTATTTTGCAAAAATTAAATAATATTAAAAGCTTCACATCCTCTTGAAATACATAATTAGAATTTATCACTGTGTATACATAATATCTATAACAACCTACAACTTTTCTACCTACATATCGCACTGTTCCCGATTATTATATAAGTTCTGCAGCACCTATCAAAGTTGCAAATTATTTATGGTTTCCTAAACGAGATAATAATAAAGTAATATGTACAGTGGAAATTAAAAGGATATTAGCTGGAACTACAAAATGTGTGTCAAACGCAATAATTGTTAGTTCTTCAAATGTTTTTGTTTTGCCAAAGAACAACAATTTTTGCCTGAGCAACTTATTATTATTCCAGTTACTTATCAACGTTGATAACAAAACTATGGTCGTAATTCACTAGTTTTTATGTCAGTATCCAACTACTCGAATAAATGAAATGCTTTCTACTCATTTACTGTGAAACTGTGGGAGTAGCGCAGCAAGTTTCTCAGCAATTTACTTTCCAATATCCTAATTATTGAGTAAAATGCTGAGGAATCGCTCCGCACATTTCTGCTTTACTGATTACTGTAAAACTGTGGTACTACCGCAGCAAGTTCTTAGCAATTTAATTATCAAAGTACTATTCCGACCTGAAAATGAGCGGCTAGAACCTGCTAACACGTTAACTGCCACTTGGCATTTTTTAAGAATTGTGAAGTTGACACCCTGTACAGCCAATTTACTTATGATTGGGCCTTCTGAACTGCCGGCGTACTACAGGAGAGCTGTGTTTCTAGGTAAATTATTGTACGGTGGTTCAGATTACGTGCAATTCCTTGTATACTAGTGTTGTTCGGCGTACAAGTAAACATGTGCACCATTGGTGTGGCAATCACAGAATGCCAATGTAAAAAAAAGGATATACATTTATCGTAATACGCTGTATATTCCGTGCGGCGCTTCAGGTACATGTCAGTTGGAAGCCGGCTGTACAGGTTGCAGTTAACGTGTTTAAATTGAATTTTCGAACAAAATACTCAAGCAATAATCCTACTTTGTCTGGTTTCCTTTCTGCTCATTGCATTTCTTATATTGCTGTCTTTTACTTTATTATTCCAAGCTTTCTATTGGCCAGACACAACAATCACGAATCCACTCAACCACTGGGAATAATCAAAATTCGCGTCACAGTTAATTTGTGTCAGTCTTTTAATCATTGAATTTCGTTTATCGGCGCCGTTTTTTACCTTATTATCCCAAGCTCTTTTTGTTATTGTATCTTAAAAATTCAGCTTATGTAATCATTGCTTCGCTCCACACACACACACATGCTTCGAAAATAATTCTTTCCAGCAACAGTATCAGTTACCTGACATCTAGGTTTGTCATAAAACGTAGGTATTCAGAACATTATCCTTGACTTTGAATAAATGATTACAACCATATGGGATCTGGTTCAGTCGACAGATAAGTTTAAAGTTTTGTGTTCATCTAGGAAAACATAAATTTTGTTTATTTCCTACTGAACTATTATATCCATATAATACCTTGGTTACGATAATCATAAACAAGGTCTTAACTCCCAAGGGAGTTAGGGTTTTCATAACTCCCGCGCGGGAGTTAAGGATATCTTAACTCCCAAGGGAGTTACGGATTTCCATAACTCCCGCTTTTACCTTGAATAGGTGAAACTTTGAGAAAAAATAGAAATTTTGGTTTATGGTTTATTTCTTTATAAAAATGGAGAAAATACAGTAAATTCAGTAGGAAGTAAAATTATCTATGTACCACGGGAGTTATCAGGTGTTAATAGCCACGGGCAATTGGTGTCCCTCAGGCCGAAGGCCTTCGGTACACAAACTTTGCCCTGGGGTATTAGCACCCTCATAATTTCCTTGATACATAAATAACTATTATATACCTATTTGTCAATTTCGGGTTACAGCAATAATAATCTTGAAGCTATAAAATTCGATACTCTTCTGGCTTTCAAGTGATTTTTACCCTCGAACAAATTAGGTTGTTCGCAGAATTCCATGTGTTTGTGAATTCCATTGAAGTCACATTTTAAGGCCGCAACAACAATGAGAATGCAGTGCTCTGATTGGTTGAATTTTCGAAACTTGTTTTAAGGTCTTTAAAAAAACGGCACATCAGAATTGGCTCTAATTTGGCATAGGTAAACATTATTTGATCGATTATCTACAATTCCTTATTTTGGTTTTTCGATATTCAGCGTGTTTTTTTTTAAATTGATCAATAATAATGTTCGCAACCACCAAAACAATTAAATGTGTTGGTGGTTGCATATTTGCATGTTTATCAAGCTTGGATCCGTGAAAACCATATTTTATTGATAACCACGAAAAACTAAAAAAAGCTAATTGTAGAGATTGTAGATAATATATCAAATAATGTTTATGCCAAAGGATTTTGGAAATTATTGCGGATTTTTTGAGATGACCTTAAAACGAATTTTCAAGGTGAAAACAGTTCAAGCAATTTCAAGTAGATGGCGCCACGGCAAAAAAGCTACATTGGGAGCATCATAATTGTATATTTGTCTTTCTCTTTCACTAAGTGTTCTACCGACAAACAGATTTTGTTTTGGACAAAAAATAAAATATTGAACCGTATGTGTAGAGTGGCGCAGTCGTCATTTTCAAAAACTAAATTTAAACATGGCGGCCATTAACGCGGCCTTTCAGGTTCAATATTTTATTTTTTGTCTGGAACAAAATCTGTTTGTCGGTGAAACAGTTAGTGAAAGAGAAAGACAAATATACAATTATGATGCTCCCAATGTAGCTTTTTTGACGTGCTGCCATCTACTTGAAATTGCTTGAAATGTAACTGTCTAATTTTTACCAATTTTCACCTTCAAAATTCATTTTAAGGTTATCTCAAAAAATTCACAATCATTTCCAAAATCCTTTGGCATAAACATTATTTGATCTATTATCGAGGATAATACCACGAAAGCTTCAAAATTACCGATAATTTTCCACGATTGCGTGCAACCACCAACACATTTAGTTGTTTTGGTGGTTGCGAACATGATTTTTGAATTAAAAGGAGCGACTGAGAAGTGTTTTCTGGTATTCGGATATAAGAGAGTTTGCTGGAAACTTTCCATGTCTTCCTTGGAATACATTCCATTGGAACTGATAGGAGAGATGGAAATACTTGGCATTGATAGTTTGTCTTCTTCATTATTGGCATGTAATTCTAAATCTCCGGAGGTGCGCCTTAGGTCAGGTGTTACTTCTAACCAGTTATTTTCCAACTTGAAATTCACTGGAAGTAGTGGTTGACATTCTACTTTGGTTCCATGTTCAACTAGGATGTGTGTTATAGCAGTTCTGTATAGTGATCTGTTCAGATAGATCACGGGAAGTTCTTGTGATAACATTCTGAAGTGTTTTGATTATCTACTACAAAAGCTCTACATTAAGCAATATAGAATACTTCATATCCTGATGTTTCTTTTAACTATATTGTTGTGATGAAGTTGAATGATATTGATGGTACCTACCTATATCCTTTCAGATTTTCATGTTATATTCTTGGTTCTATAACAGTTGTTTCATCTCAAATTTCAAATTAAAGACTCCTGAATATGAGAAATTTGAAAAAACTGCAATTCTTACATGATTCAAGAATGCCTATTCATGATTGAGAAAACTCGTGTTAATACTAAATATCAAAAATGAATACCTACCAACTTAAATTGATGAATGTAATAATTTCAATGTCAACTTGAACTTCACAAAAATATCTATATGCAATTATTTTCCTATAAAAGAATGACGTGCTTGGAAATTCTATACCTACCTATATGATTTGAATAATAAAAAAAAACGAAGATATAAATCAGCAATATTTAACAACCAATTTTTAATGTAGTTGGCGTGTTTGTTAATAACTAAATACAACTTAAAGAGCATTTAGGGTTCATATATTTTTTTCAATAATGAACAGTCAAATTGCATGATTTAATAAAGAAACTTTTTTCATAATGCTATATATGATTAATGCCTGTTTTATAATTCAAACAACGACAAAGACATTTTGCAAAGAAAAAAACTTATTCTATATTCTAAAAGCTCTTATTGCTTAAGATTTCACTAGTAGGTAATATACATTCTATAACTATAAGTGTAAGGAGTGTATAATAATTAAATCTTTGTATGCATGCATATTAATTATTGTTTTTATTTAAATTCGTTGTGTTAGTAAATAGTAATTTGTATTTATAGTGTTAAAAATTGAAACAATATAATTATGAGAAAAAAATTGAATAGAAAAGTGCAGTTCATTTTTGGGTTGGGATAACCACCAAATAAAATCATTGGTTGGTTGACAGGTCTGCAGCAGTGCAGCCTGGGTTGTAAATAATACAACAGCTCAAGTAGCATATTCTTTTAGGTATTTTGGAGGCCGCCTGATCCTCATATAGACGTTGGCGTATGAACAATTGGCACCCTCGCATCAGAGATTTCTGGTTCCATCTGTGTCATCATTACTAGGAAAATCTGATTTCAACCCGATAATCGTTCATGGCAACCATTTGTAACCTGCTGCATCATTATCATTGAAAAACCTGATCTTTTCCCCTTGTTCTGAACGTTGCTTATCTTGTCATTATCTCTCTGCGAAAATCTGGTTGTAATTTATCAAGTAGAGTAGATAATCTACGGCTCATTAGCATTTCTGCTGGAGATCTACTTGTTAAACTATGCGAAGTTATGTGTTGGCTCAATAAATGTTGGGATAGAGCCAGTTGTACATTGGCACCAGTCATTTTCTTGATTACAATTTTAACATTCTGCACCATCTTTTCTGCCTGATCCTTACTACTGGGATGGTAAGGTGCTACTAGAGCTTGTTTAATTTGTTTTTTTTTTTAAGGAATTCTTGAAAATCTACAAAAGTAAACGTTGTTCCATTATCCGAATGCTATGTGTGGCAAAACATTCCCGCAGCACTGTAATCGTCAATGCACTGGAGGTACTAGGTACTAGCCTTACTTCCAAGCACTTTGAGAAAGCATCGATCACAATTAAGAAAATATTTCCGTTCTTTGGGCCGGCAAAATCAAGATGTAGTCCACGGGCCCCGTGCCTATTCCCAAGGGTGTACTGGCAATTTTTTAGGCATGTTTCTTGACTTCTGACACTCAACACACCTATTCACTAAATCTTCAATTTGCTTGTCCATGCTAGGCCATCCGTGCTAGTGCCTTCATTTTCACTATGCCAGGATGAGCAGTGTGAAGTATTTTGAGCACTCTTTTCCTTCCCCCCGATGGAATTATAACTCTAGTGTCCCACAATAAGCAGTTCTGATAGCAGGTTATTTCATTTTTTCGTTGCAAAAAAGGTATATACTCTGGCGTAAATCCATTCTGGTTTCCTGGCCAACCTTTCCATGCCCACTGTAAAACCCTTCATAAAACTGAATATTTCCTAGTTTCTATAGGGCAATATATCTTTACCGCAGAAAAATTTTTCTGCGATGTTTTCTAACATCAGGACCTCATCTGTCTAGAGTATCAATATTTAAAGGTAGTCTGCTAAGAGCATCTGCATTTTGAATCTTGGAACCTGGCACATAAACCAAATCATAGTTATATGCGGCTAACATTAGAGTCCATCTCAGCATTCTGGGTGGAAGTATTTCTGGAACAATTTTCTTTGGATTGAAAATACATAGTAATGGCTTATGGTCTGTCCTGATAGTTACTTTGCGGCCAGAAATTTAATCTGTGCGACAGTGTACGGCTGTGAACTTCTCTCCCATCATCATTTGGCTGACTCAACACACAGCCCACACCATAGGGACTGGCGTCATATGTTAAAACAAGGTCTTTTTTATCTGTATAATGTGCTAAAACTGGCTCTTTACTTAAAATGTCCTTTAATGCATCAAACGCTGCTTGTTCTTCGGTATGCCACTGCCATTGTTATTCTTTCCTCAGAAGGCAATGCAATGGGTTTCCTATAGTTGCTTTGTCTTTAAGGAAAACAAGCTCAGTGTTATTCTTAGAATACTTCAGGGTATTCCTGGACATACTTAGTTGGACAAAGAATAAATTCGACTTACCCCTATGATGGATAAACCCAAACCTTCAAACCAACATTTGGTATAATCACTTTAGGTATAATGTTCCAAAACAGCTCCATTGAATTAAAGTACCTGCCTACTACTTCAAGTAGTTTCAGTTGAAGCAGTAGGTACTTTGATAAACATATTACTTGAAGAACTTCCAGCATCAAATTCTTCTGTTTAAACGTTGATTGAAAATTTTGATTCAATAGGATGATTACCAACCATTACAACCAAGATATTGACGTTTTTAGACTCTGATAGAAAAATCCAAAGTGGTTTATATCCTTGGATTAAATCCTGCAATGATTAATTAACATACACAAGTACAAAATCGCTTAAGAAAAAAAAATATTCATATTGGTAATTCTCAGTAGATCAAAGTGAAATATTGAAGTTTAATGCACTGGCGTGTGAAAATCTAAATGAGAGACCTTGATAATTATAGAAGAACAATGAAAAGTCTCAGAGTGCATATTGCATTAGACTGAGATGCAATTAATTTCTTGTGCTTTATATGTGAGAAAAAAATTGCTCCATGTTTTGCATACATTATTTTTAAAGTTTCATTTATATTGAAAGAATCACACAAAATAACTTCAGTTTAAATCAAGGTTCTAATCAGCTACACATTTCTTAGAATTAATGCAAATAATTACGTACTTCCATATAAATATGAAGATCCATGCACGCATACTAAAAAGAAAAAAAATAGCGTGATCTCATATATCTCATAAGATAGTCAACAAAGTAGTACTATTGTCATTGAATTTTAAATAAAATGACCATGAAATCTGTTTTTTTTTTTTTTTATTTCCGCTAAACATTTTTTCCACGTATAGGAATTCTTCCTGAAGCTCTTCACACAAATTGCGGACGCTGCACGGAAAAACAAGCCACTGTAGCCTTACGTGCCATAAAACGACTGAGAAAAGAATACCCCAAAGTTTGGAGCCAACTATCCGAAAAATGGGACCCCGATGATATTTATGTTAGGAGATTTGAAGCTACTAATTTTGCATCTAGAAGCGTAAACGATGTGAAAAACACGTAAGAATTCTATTGGCTTAAATTATATAGATAATAAATGAGCTTATTTGTTTTTAGAATCAACGATGCCAAAGATGACCAGCCTACTAGAATCTCATTAGTTGAAAGTTTGCCACCGAATCCACTCAGTGTACCATCAACCACTGAAAAAGTCACCACATTAATTAACCCATTACCATCTAGCACCACTACTAAACCAACTGTTTCTTCATTTTCAAGTTCATCTAGCACTAGAACTAGCTCAACTACGACTAAACCAACTGTGTCATCATTATTCACTAGTTCAACAACCCCTAGAATATTGAGACCCATCCCCAATCTTTTGCCGATCAACACATTTTTCACTAACCCGCCCATCCCCATTAGGCCAATCAATCTTAATATTGGGGCCAATATCGGAGCTACGGTGAGTGGGCTAGTCAGGAGCTTGGGGGCTATAGGCTCAAGGGTGATGGAAACGGGGGCCGAAATCGCCGGGGTTGTTATTAAGAATTTGAGCAAGCCTTTGTCGTTGTAGAATGACTTTGAGCGAGCTCAAGGCTAATTTATTATTTTAGTTTAAAAACAATGTATGAATGGGATGTTTTTGTAAAGTCTTGTTAGATCACATTTAAGAATAACAGATTTTATCTTAAATTTAATGGTTGTGATGTTAATTGGCATAAAACCGCCAATTTGCAACCACAACATTTTCTAAATTATTCAATGGTTAATTATTTCATAACTAAATTCCCACAAATTTGTGTGTTGTGGTGAAAATTTAAATAATATCATTAAATCATATTGTTCTAACAAATTTCCATTTTTCATTCATGTTGTGTTCATCCATTAATTTTTTAGGTGAAGGCAATTAAACATGTCGAAAAAGCCGTAACAGGCTTTGCAAAGGAAAAACTAGGGATGATCAGGAAGATTTTCGTAATACCGCCTTGGAGGGGAGCCAGAAGAAAATTTGGGCATTTCAAGTGAAATTTTTCGTATTTCTAAGTTGTGTGATAAAATTTGTTTATTTCCTTAACAAGATTATATTAATTTTGTATAATATATTATTAGGTTTATATCTAACTATCTAATTTTTGAATTCATTGTGATTGTGCATATTAAAGAATTCTCTATAAATGAAGACATTAGTGAACATGTCACTGGCCCTTATTGACTCCTTTAATTAGATGTTCTTTTCAATAGTATTTTATAAAACTAAATGATTATAAAAGCTTTTCATTTCTAGGAAGTCCCTCCTGAAGTATATAGATTCTTCAATAACTTCTTGTAAAGCTACTGTCATTGGTTCTGGCTACAAGCTCCTCTTTTGTTGAATTCCGAGGGAGTAGTTACTTGTGATTTTTTAAGACAGAAAATATCCATGCGGATATCCTGGGTTCTCCAGACATTTTCCTGAATTTCCATGGAGAATCTTTGAATTTCCATGGATCTGCGTGTATTTCCTCCGGTAAATCAGAAGGTATAGCTAACTCAGTACCTAACTATAAAACGATGAAATTTAATTTCTTTTTTTTTGTTGAGATTTTGTATCCTAGTGGTCCTCTGGGATCCCCCAAATTCCGTACACTGAATTATTCCAAGATATTAAGCCAAAATCTATGAAAATAGGCACTCCGAAAATTGAAAAATTGATAAATTACCCCAAATTGCTTATAGAAATTTTATTTCTAGAATTATACGTCTAAATAAACTGAAATTTTCAGGGATTGTAGTCCTCTACTGAGATCAGAATCGCTGACAATTTCAGCTTTCTATCTAAAATAGAAAAAAAGTTATGACCTTTCAAAGTTTTCCAAAATCTTAATCATAAGGTATAGCTAATTACCTTACTATTCAAACAATGAAATTTCAAAAATATTACTGTCGAGATTTTGTGTCCTAATGGTCCTCTGGGATCTCCCAAACTCCATATACTAAATTATTCTGAGATTTGGAGCCGGAATCCATGAAAAAAGGCACTCGGAATAATTGAAAAATGGATAAATTACCCCAAATTGCTTAACACGATTTTATTTCTGGAATTATAAGTCCAAATGAGCTGAAATTTTCAGGGTTTGTAGTCTTCTACTGAGATAAGAATCGCTGAAAATTTCAGCTTTCTATCTAAAATAGAAAAGAAGTTGCGACCATTCCAAGTTTTCCAAGATTCAAATCATAAGGTCTACCTGAGTACTAAAACGATGAAATTTCAAATTTTTTTGTGTTGAGATTTTGTGTCTTCTTGGTCCTTTGGGATTCCCCAAACTCCATACACTAAATTATTCTGAGATTTGGAGCCGGATTCTATGAAAAAAGGCACTCAGAAAAATTGAAAAATTAATAAATCAACCCAAATTGCTTAACACGATTTTATTTCTGGAACTATAACTCCAAATGAGCTGATATCTCGGAGATTGTAGTCTTCTACTGGGATAGGAACTGCTGAAAATTTCAGCTTTCTATCTAAAATAGAAAAAAAGTTATGACCTTTCAAAGTTTTTCAACATCTAAATTCCGGACTTCCTTAACCACGCGTACGCAACTTTCTATACTCCTGCAGTTGAAGTTCTTGGATTTTCACGTGTATTTCCACCGGATTTCCACGTATCTCCACAGATATTTATTAATTTCCACAGATCTCCACAAATCTCAATGACATTTGAGACAATGGCTAATACATGTATAACTTCTCGGAGGTAGTCACTTTTTTTTAGGAGAGAAAATTTCCATTTGTAAAGATCTTCTTACAACTCCAATGGATATCCTTATGAATTTCTGTGTATCTCCTCTAGACCTCCACCATTGGAAGTATTTTGGGGCTATGGGCTGGAATGTTTCAAAATATATATAGAGTTAGTCGGCAGTGAAAATATACATGCATATTTTATGATCGGCAAAATATAAATGCAAGTGTAAACTTGTTGTTTTTGCTAGAATGGAAACGCTTATCAGTTATAAGTAAAAATAACCGTGAAACATGATACCCCTGTTTGTTTCCACATTAAACCAGTGTTGTTCAAAGGGGACAATTGTGCCAAAAGTGGCCTTTTTCGCCCGTAAAAGGCACAGTGGCACCACTTTGAGAAATTTGGCACGATTCACATTTATTAGATATTATCCTTTTTCAATTTTTTTGGATGAGAAAGATTGGAGCTGTAGCAGGATTTTTTGTTTATTTCTATTCTATTGTATTTTTTGTTCATTTCATTTCTGTGCTAGTGACCTCAGTCCTGATCTGTGAGAGTTGTAGTGGATCTGTCAGATCATTGGATCTGCCTTCGGATTCTATTTTACGAATCGAGTCGAATTGTCTGTTATGACACTTGATATCGAATGCGACAGCTCCGCACGTACAGTCGTGAGCATAAAAAATGGAACACCCGATTTTTCTTATTGTAAAACGGGCCCACCAGCTACACCATCGGCAATGTCAAATGTCATATTTGACAAGAAATCCGTTGTACAGAAAAGAATGATACCCAAAATAGCGAAAAATTACAAGACCTGTCAGTCGGGTGTCCCACTTTTAATTCTCACGACTGTACCGTATACGGATTGAAAAATTAAAAAATAGAATCACTATTTTGACAATTGGATACGAATTTCGACTCGACTCGTGAAATAAAATCCGGCTGCTGTGGATGTGAGTGTGATCAGTGACAGTGACAGTGGTCAATTGTGATTATAGTAAATTTATTACATGAAATATATTATACCTTTCTCCTTTTAATCATGTGATAAAAAGAAATAGGTGAAAAGTCAAAAAACTCTCTCCCATCACTTTTTACAAAGTGGCACTATTTGGCACTATTTGAGTGTTGCTGTAGGCACACACGAAATTTACCCAAGAACAACACTGCATTAAACTTCGGCAGCATGATGATTCACGAATTTTCCTTATTAACCACTACAGCATCTTCTAATAGGACACGTCGAACTTCACACTATGTACGCTACATGGAGCCACCGATAACATCATGACGTCGAAAAATTTGGGGTTGGCCCGGGTCAAATCCCCGAAATTTCAGATCAAAGGCGCCGCCGATCTAGAGATTTTCCCACGGTATCGAAAAATTTCCCAGGCTCAGGTGCCCCCAATCCATGAAGCCACAGTACCAGTTAAGATGATGTGCGCACGCAATTACGCTTTTCCGATTCTACACGACTGCAGTCGAAGTTTTTGGATCTGCACGTATTTTCATATCGTATCTGCGATATCTCTAAAGAATCTCCACACATCTGCAACGGATATCTATGGATTTCTTTAGATGTTCACAGATTTTCATATGAGATCTTTTTTTTTAATATTATATCGTACTAACCCTCTTTTTAGCAACGGAGGTAATGAGGAAAGACCGCGGGAGGTCGCATTCTCGATCCAGATCGTCAAAACTGTCTACAGGACAATCAAGGTCACCTTCAGATCTTGAGGAAAGGTTAAAATGGTTAGAAAATCTAATTCGTGAAAAGAACCAGGTAAGAACCACAATTCATTGTATCGTAATCCCAAGCGTCCTAGAAAGCATATTGACACTGATTTGAGTGAGCAGGAAGATACCAAGAGTGCATTATGTGCTAAAAAGTGACGCATTCAAGTCTCTCCTGACTCGAGTGAGCAGGAATATAAGAGCCGATCACGCTCCAATAAGAGACATTTGCATGATTCTCCTAACTCGAGTGAGCAGGAAAACTGCAATCCATTAGTTTCCAAAAGAAGACGCAAACCGATAAGTTCTGACTAGAGTGAGCAGGATATTTTTGACCCAAACGCCCAAATATTCCGTGAAGAGACATTTGCAAAGTTAGTCGAACATGAAGGCAACAATCAGGGAGATATTTTACAAATACAGACAGATGCAGAAACAGAATCATTTCTAAAATTGAAAGATGAGATTCTGGAAGTTCTGGGTGATGAAAAGGGCATACAAGGACTAAACTTACATCCAACACTAGTATCTAGATGGGCAGAGATTCTAGAAACGGGTTTTGATAAAGAAGATTGGCTAGAATTATGTAAGAAATATCCAGTACCAAAAAATTTGGAAACCTTGGGAGCCCCATAGCTCAATAATGAGATATTGAAAATAATATCCCAAGATACTTTAAAAAAAGATAAGTATCTAACCCTTAGGTCCAACTCAGTTAGGTGCTGCTACATCAGATTTGGGGTCTGCATTAAACAAGATCCTAAAAGATGAAGAAAATAGTCAGGTATTTAAGACAATCCTACCAGACTTATGTGATGATGGTAAGATGCTAGTGGATTCGCAGCATTATTTGTCAATTTCAAGGCGATATGGTGTCTTACCTGCCCTGGATTATTCAATAAAGCAGGTAGCATCCAATTGTACTCTGGATACAGAACTTTTTGGCTGATTTTAATGAGAAGATTAAGTCAGCAAGGGAACTAGAAAAGGAGTAGCTAGTATCTAAAAATAAGACCTTCTACAATACCCACAAGGAAGCAAAAAAGAGCTAATTATGAACATCATTTAAACTGGAAGTCCCCGTCTCATACAATGAGGAGGTATGCAAGACAACAACAGGGAGGAGATCTCAACAACAGTACCGTGCATACGACAAAAAGAACCCTTCTTGGAACTGACAGGAACTTTGCAGGTCGATTAAGAGAGCTCTTTCAAAATTGGAGTATATGTCATGTTTAGGTAATAATACCTAATTGTTGTGGATAGTTGTATGTGTTGACTTTTTTCCAAAGAGGGGATTTCCCTTTCTTCTTTTTCAGCATTATTTTTCATAACTTCTTCGAGAAAAGACAATCATACATCAGTGAGCTTCTTTTCTTTAACGCAGCTTCTAGCCTCAGTTCTTGAAACTTCAAAAGTTTCTAGTATAAGAATCTCTTTTTCAATTGACTCCAGGCGCAGATATTGATATTTTTTTCTTAATCAGTGTTCTTCAGAATTAACTTCAACATCTGCTCCTAAAACTTTTAGTACTTATTTGCTCTTGTGGGTCTATAGGGTCAAAAGGTTTTGCAACAGTTTGCTTTTACAGCTTCTGGTTATTCTTTAAATCCTTTCATTTTTATTTGCTTTCCCATCAGGAAATACCTATAATGAGTCGGTTGTTTCGTGAACAACTTTATAGTAGAGAGAAAAAGTAAACTAGGCAATCATCTGGGAACCACAATAGGTATCCGTTTCTTGATAATGCCGAAAAAATAATGACATAATTGGCTTTAATTATCTAACTACAAGTTAATTCCTTGAAGTTTACCATAAATAAACAAAACTTTCTCTTTCGGCGAAACAATAATAATTTAGGATGGGTTATTACTTGAGAAAAAACACTCACATTTATTAAATAATATTTGCTATTAATTATTACCTATCAATGAATTTTAGAGTTACCATTTTCCAATTACCTAATCTAACAAGCGTTGAATATATAAGACTAACAAGACTCTTCAGGTATATTGAAGACAATTTCTTCTAGAATTATTTATACAGAATAACCCAGATGACGAAATATCCTCACGTAATCGTTCGAAGAACGTACCACTCTTACTCTTCAAGAATCCCCTCAACCAGACAAAATAAAACGTTAAGAAGTGTATTTATTTTAAGTCATTGTTATTTAGAACAGCCAAGTTGTTTAATTGAAAGAAAAAAAAAATGCATTGTGCTAGTTTGGTAGTTTTGCTAACAGTGATTGGAATAGCTATAGCTCAAAACCCTTACACCACAAAGTACGATAACGTAGATGTTGATAAAATTTTGAAAAACGATAGAGTTTTGACCAATTACATCAAATGTTTGATGGACGAGGGACCTTGCACACCTGAAGGACGAGAATTAAAAAGTAAGTTTTTTATTTGTTATTCCTGATGTGGTTTATTTTCTTGATTATTCTATAGAGACTCTTCCTGATGCTTTGGAAAGCAACTGCTCCAAATGCAACGAAAAACAGAAAAATACGACTGAAAAAGTGATCAGGCATCTGATGAACAAGAGAACCAAAGACTGGGATAGGCTTACCAAAAAATACGATCCTCAAGGTGCCTACAAACACAGATACCAACAGGAAACGAATTCTGCTTAAGAAGTTTACCATTTATTAATTGCATGTTTTTTTATTTGTGAATAAATAAGTGTTTCAATTACAATTAGCCTAATTTCTAGTTGGTAGGTTTTCCATATTTCCTCACTAAATCGTTCCAAACGTCTGGATATTTGCTCTGGACAAAACGGGCTATTCTTTTAGCGTTGCCCAGTTGTTTTTGATCGCAGGCATTGCAGTTTTTTCCAATAATTTCTGGTAAGGCAGCTGAAAATAAAACGAAGTTGATATCAAAAATAAAACAAGTAAAATCGATCACGTTCTCTTTATGTATTTTACTTGATTCAATGCTAACTGGCTATAGTATTGCGTTACATACACGCATTTATCTGGGTGATTAACCTCGACTTAAATCTTTTTTTGCAGTACCTAATATCAAGTACCTATACTCTATAAATTACTTAAGCTTTCACTGGTTTAAATTGTTGCACATGTGATTTATCAACCCATATACTGTAGGTCTCATGAGCATTAGATTCTTCCTTTTTTGATTAAAAAAGCTTCCTTATTACTATTCCTAAATGGGCATTGGTCCATTGCTTACAGATGAATGTTGAGTGAAAAAAAAAAAAAGAATACAAAAGAATAAAAATATTTACCTTTAATTTGTCGTCCTAAATTATCACAAGGGGCCTTATCCAAGGCGCAAAGTAACTGTTTTTCGACGTAAACGTTGCTATTCAAGCCTTGCGACTGTACCGTTCTGAGAACTACGAAAAATGCACCAAAATACAATAGACTTTTCAATAAAAGGGCCATTTTCGGTTTTAGGAACCACTTTGGTACGAGATCGAATCTGTACTGACAGGGTGCAGCATTCCTCGGAACGGTTTTATTTCTCAAAAGAAGTAATTGTCCGGTTCCTTTCACGCTAGAACACACAGTAGATTATGTATACCTACCTGCATTCATAGACCTTATTCTATGTAGTAGGAGAATAGTAAGATTTAATTGAATTATGAATCAATTCAACTTGGGTTAACAGAAGAAGAGGAGAAGGAAAAGTTTTCCAACGGCAAAAAAAAAATAAGAAAAATAGATCATTCTCCAGATTTTAATATAGAAACGGAATCTCACAATTTGAGAAATAAGTAAATGAATAATCAGATAAGAAACTCATTTGACCTGCATGCATGACTCAAAAAAAAGCCTCTATAATTAGAAACAATTCGTACAATTTGTTGTGACATCACCATGTGTTTGTATTGTCCAATTGTCCTCCTAAATACCTAAAAGCTCCAACGCTATTGGTGGGTGGCACAATGAAAATTGATCGAGCTGCTCATTGTAGTCTTTTGAACCATTGCATCAATACAATTACCTTGATTTCAAAGGCGAAACCATTGCACTTTGTTATTAACTTTCGTATACCGTATATGCAATTTAAATCAGATACATATAGTCAGAAAATTGCAACAAGTCGCATGTGTGCAGTGTAATTTTAATGAATTTAAATTTTTTCAGAAATATGTCTGTTGTGAACCCGGTTAGGAGTGATGGAGATGTAAGTACAAAGTCCTATTTTGAATCCACACAATATAAAAATCAATCTTTTTTGTACCTAAATTATATGACTTATAAATATACTCAATATGTCTTTGTTATATGTATTTGCTGGTTTGAATTTTGAAACTTCAATAGGCCATAATTAGCTATGGTGAATTAACCATCCCATAACCTTCCTCACAATAATTCTTTTGTGCTAGATATATTTGGAAAACTATGAATCATATATAGGTAGCTTATCAACAATAGAATTTTTTTAAATTAAAATCTCAAGGATTACTTTTTATCATTATCTGTAATCAGTCAATATTGTCTTGAAAACAATAACAATATTGCTTGGACCAGTTCAGTTAATTTGAATCAATTATTGTGCGAGTAGTTTTTTTCTTGAAAAAAAATTAATGGCTGCCATCAAAGGGTCCAAAAACAAAGATGCTGAGGCTCCAAATACGGATACTGACGGAAATGTTGTGGCTGCTGTAGCTAATGCAGCTGTATTAGTGATAAAGGTAAAAATCATTTGGTTATTTGAACTAACAATGAAGTTTAAGAATTCGTATTTCTCTAGTCTCAATCTCAGCAATACTCACATGATATTATTATTAGTAAAGAAGAAATAATTATTGATAATGCATAGGTACGTAGCTCTTTCTACATGATTTCATGTATTTTTCTTGTGATAATTTTCTTCTACATTTGTTCTTGAAGTAAAAAAATCAATTGCAGTGACTTATTCTAGTAAATTTGCAATTAGGGTCTTTGAGTGTAGGTATTTCAAAACCAGGACGTTTGGACGTAATATGATGAGTTATCCACTCTAAACAGGAAACAGGTCAAGAGGATGTAGAAATTTTCGAATAAAGTTTAACTTTGAGGTTTAATTTATCGAAAAGTAGTTCAGTTTTCAGAACCTGGTCTGTTTGATTTCTAAATCTAAATATGCATAGACACTTTCAAGATTCTCTGATTTTTTTATGTAGTGTATTACCCGCTGAAAACACGCAACTCCGTTTGTCATACCAAAAGGAATTCTTTGGAACTGATATATGTAATTTACCATCTGCCTCAAAAGCAGTACCTATATACTGCTTTTCGTCGTCACGTATGGGAACTTGGTGATACGCACTTTGTAAATCTATATACTTAGTACTGAAAATCTTGAATTTCGCCACAGCATGAACAATATCTTCAATATTGGGCAGAGGATAAAGCATCTAAATATGTAAACCTAAACCTGTTAATGGTTTGAGAGTAATCGATCACCATCCTTTTCTTGTGCATTTCATTTTTCGTTACCAACAAGGAGAGTTGCTTTCTTCTATGACTTTATTTAAAAGAAGGTTTCTTATTTCAATAGAAATAAAGTGTCTAATCTTCTGGTGAAAATCGTCTAGACTTTGTTGCAAGTGGCCTGCAGTCTGCTGATAAATTTGAAAATAATGTAGGCGGATCAATTTTTAGGAACGCCAAACTGCAAATCGATGATGAGTTGTCAGTATACAAGAGAGGCTTAGAATCTCCAAAGATACTTCAAGGGTTGAATATTGTCTAAAGGGGGCTTTATATGCTGCAATAAATATTGCAGTTAGACGGTGCAAGTGCAAGTACCTGCAAGACCCTTTCTGTAAAATATCTTGCGCTGTCTTGCGATTTGGTTTTACATGTGTTTTGAAATCTTTCAATTGCTTTCTTCTGCCAACATAAAGAGAAAAAAATTATAGGAAAACAGAACCATACTTTTACCATATATATTCTTGTTAAGGCCGTTTTACAGCTTGCAATTCTATCTGCAATATGCAAGAAAGTTGAACGAGGGCATGCGCAGAAGTGAGTCAGCTGATTGTTTTGTGCAAGATTCTTGAAACTTGAATGGCATTGCATGCAATCGGTTTTGTGCCATTTTTCTTGAAGGTTTTCCCGCAAGTTGGGGAATTTTTAGGAAATATAATGCCTAAAGTGGCTGCTATTGTTTTCTTTTTTTCATATCGACTTATAATCGCTTTTTTCATTTTTGGAAAATGCAAACATCAACAACACAACATTAAAAACAAAAAAGTATGGTTAAGGTTATAGAAGGAAACAAGTCAAATTGCAAGGTGTAAAACGATGTGCAAGAAATCTTGAATGCAATTTTTTTGCATGCAACAAATTGCATTCAAGTTTTCTTGCAAGCTGTAAAACGGCCTTTATAGAAAAAAGGTTATTGCTGCTAGTCTTTGCATCAAATGCATCATTATTGGTGCCGCCACTATGTTACAAGAAACCATTGTATTTGCCTACGAATCCTACGATACGACGATACCTACGTGTTGATGATTCTCAGTATATAATAAAATAAAATATCTCTACCTGCATATTGAAAATTAACATTGATTCAAACATAATGTCATAGGTGTCTACCTAATATCATTATTGTTTTCTATGAAACGAAGGTACCTACCAAGATATCTATGTAGGTACCTAAAAGTAGATTATTTTCAGTGTATAATTAAATAAATAAATGATCTCTACTTGGATTTATCTATATTTTAAGTTGATTCAAACAGGGCTCTGACATAGATATACCTAAATCTATTCTCATTAATCTATAAATATAAACATAATTTTAAAAGTAGTAACTTTTATTGAAAGTTGGCATGCCAAAAATTACCAAATTTTCCCCCAAAAATACTCTTGCAGAGTCTTGCACTTGCAGAAATATCGCAGAACCGATAAGTTGCAATTGCAAGAAGTCTTGCAACTTGCAATCAGCTGGGTTTCATCTGCGCATGCCTTTTGCAAGAGTTCTTGCCAGTGGCGGTCCATACATGATTTTCTGGGGGGGGGTAATGGATGACGGGAAAATCATCAAGTGTCGCAACGTATCGCCGGGGGCGAAATTTTTTTTAGGTGCCACGCCCAAATTTGCTCCCGAAAGTCGTTTAAAAAACACGCTTCGGGCAAAAATGTATCCCGATGCCGTCAAAATAGTAATACCGGGTGTCCACTTAGTGCGATATCGGACGATATCTTCTTACAGGGTGATGCAAGAAAAAAAATAAAAATTCGAAGTTGTTTGATTCTCTAAGGTGCATTACCTAAAAATATTTTTAAATATACAGGGTTTTCTGTAAATGGGGTATGCGACAAAACTTTGTTATTTTTAAATGGAACACCCTATATTTTAGTACATTCTATCATTCTAAAAATCCTACGTACTTTTTGTTAGGAATCATCTATACCAAAACTCAACCGTTTTTAAAATATTTAATATTTTTTCAAAAAATCGCAGCATGTGTCAACAAAAACCAACATATTTCATCCATTGGAGATCCTATAAGCTAAAGCTTTTGCAGGTTGTTAGTGCATAATGTCTGTCGATTTTTATTTGATACTGCAACGGAATTTGAGCTAGTGGCTCCCTACATTAGACCGCCAATGGTCACCTGACATCATACCTGTTTTTGCCATATACTTCACCCCCTCGCTCCTCATACGGAAAGTGTCAGTTCAAAAACGACGGACTTTACTTACATTTACTTCATGGTCCTATGAAAATCTGTTAACATTTTACAGGGTGTTCGCAATACTGTACACAATACCCAGACTTTTAGTAGTATGTACACAAGGGGGGTGCCTCAACATAATGCAAATCTGCATAAGGCACCCCAGATGCGTCATCAAGTTACCCATTACCAGAAAACCTATGAACTTTAAGAACCTTGGTAGGTACGTCGGTACTGGTGAACCTATCATATTCATACCATGCCTTTAATCCTTTACTTTCTAGAACTTGTCTTTTCTTGAAATTTTGTTGTAATTAATAAATGTAAAAAAATCTTTGTCTGGGGGGGGGGGGGGTAATTACCCCCTCTACCCCCCCTTTAAACAGCCCTTGGTTCTTGCAACTTGCACCGACTTGCAGGTACTCTTGTAGCATGTAAAACCCCCTTAAGAATATCAAGACCTATAATGACATCAGCACATAAATTAGAAAAAACTGATAAACGTAATTTTCTGTAGGTATGTATGCCCCATCATTTCTAAGTCTACAAAGCAATGACCTGATATTTGAGACTGTGTAATGGGGGTTAGAGGTGGGAAACTATCGAAGAATCTAACTAGCGATATATCGATAGTAACGAATTAAAACTATCGATGTATCGATATAAGTATCGATAAAAAAAAGGGTATACGTTTTGGACCCATTTTGTATTTGGGGTTTCAGCAATTAGCAGGTCAGGGCAAGTTAAAATATTAATGTTAATGAACTCCAACAGCAGTGTGTACATGAAGGTCTGAGATGAAGGCCCTAACCCTACGGCCTACGCCCTACAATACAAACACAACGTGACAACGAGACTTAGAGAAAAAAAATACTCAAATGAAAGTTATTATTATTGTGAATATCAATATGTTTAATTACACACGTTCTTTTTCCTTCAAGCTGGAAGTGAAGAACCACTATGAAGTGAAATATAGTGTAGTTGAGTTGTGTAGGTTGTTGTTAACTGATAATAACAGGAAACATAACTAATCTTCATCTTTTTTAATTTTGGTTCCAACTACCATACCATCAAAACCAAAATAAAAAACATCAAGATTGTTTGAGAGATGGTAGGTTTCTTGATAACTTTTATGGCGTCATCTGGGGTGCCTCAACATAATTCCAAATCCCATAAGGTACCCCAGACGTCATCAAGTTACCCATTACCAGACAATCTATTAACTTTAGAAGCCTTAGGGCGGGTATTATAAAACTACTTTGAGTTAACTCTCAAAGTTAAAGTTAACTTAAGGAATTACATGTAATTCAAAAAGTTAACTTCAAGTTAACTGATTCAAGGGCGGGTATTATAAAACTACTTTGAGAGTTAACTTTAAGTTAACTTCTAGAATTACATGTAATTCAAAAAGTTAACTTCAAGTTAACTGTCAAAGCAGTTTTATAATACCCACCCTAAGGGCGGGTATTATAAAACTGCTTTGACAGTTAACTTGAAGTTGTAACATGTAATTCTAGAAGTTAACTTTAAGTTAACTCTCAAAGTAGTTTTATAATACCCGCCCTAAATAAAAGATGAAATGTATGATATTTCTTGACACTTGACATTGCTGACATAAGAAAAGGCAGGAGAACTGCTATCGATTGTCTAAGTACAACTATCGATAGTTCGATAGTGTAGCAAACTATCGATATATCGATAATTACTATCGATAGTTTCCCACCTCTAATAGGGGTTTTACATGCTGATTGAATCACACTTGTGAGAGATCCTATATGCTTCTGAATGTTTTTGTGCCGATTCTAGAAATTAACCTTGATTCTTGGCTTCATCAAGTTTCAATATAGTATTCCCCAACAATCGTTATGGAATTTGGGAAGAGCTTAAGCCACTAATGAAATAATCTTTAATATAGTCGTTTTGACTTTCTTCAGCGCTGACAGCTTTGAAGTTACAGTCTTTACTTAGATGTTTTAGAGCTTGTAAGTACTGATCAACAGTCTCTCTAGGTTGCTGTTTCCTAGAGGTCAAGCAGTTTCTGGCAAATATTTCATTTTTAGGTTTAATGAAAATTGAATCCAGAATCTTAATAACTTCTAAGCTAAGTAGGAAGAATAGCAAGATATGTGCTCATAATTGTTGTGGCTTACATAACTAATACTGGTAACAAAAACTATATATAGAAAATATCAAAAGTACCACAATGGAAGATCCTATATATTATTCTTTGATTTGGTCTAGTTCCGCAATGCTTTTTGTCCAAATTATGAACCACAGTGGTTCAAGTCCACATATTCCAATGAGATGTTCCTTATTTTTCCATCACTTTATGTGGATTTTTGTTGTTGCTGAAGATGGGTTCATGATCTTCTTCTTACAAAAGCCCTTTGAACTTTCATTTTCTTATAGATACCTTGAAACTCATAGGTATTGGAAATAGCTTTGTCGTACCCCCCACTCCGGATGAGATGGTTCATTGCAGCACTGTTAAAAGTTGCTTTAGAGTAGGTATATATTGATAAAGAATCTTATTCCTTTGTATAGGTAAGCAGATTCATTGTATTTACGTTTCAACAAAGTTTTTAAGTGCTTTTGTTTGTTTTTTGTTTATCAATCATTGCGCTATCCTTATCAATAACAAACTAGGTAGGTCTAAACAATTTCGACAGTCAGTTCAAAAACCGATTTAATAACAATGGATGAACAAATTCAAGTTTCAAATGACGAGGAAAATATTGGCGCTAGTACTTCGAGGCTTATAGCGGAAGTAGAGGTTGCATTTTAATTCATTCATAAAACATTTACATTGAATGATTTATTTTTTTTCTAGAAATCTCTGGACGTCAATAAATACGCAACAAAGAAAACCATAGCCCAAGGTTTATTGGACGTGGCCCTGTTAACTGCCAATGCCTCCCAATTGAAATACATCCTGCAAGTTGGAGAGAAACATGAATTTTACGCATTGATGCTCAGCCTGATTAGCATTTCCATTGTGTTGCAGGTAATAATCAATTAACCATATCGATATATTAAATAAATAAATTTTAAGGTTCTGATTGGTATTTTGTGTTTGTCGCTCCATCTTCTCTCCGATTGCAGACTCCATTTGAAAAGCTACCACACAATGGCGCATTATTTAAATTACGCAACTACCATTTTTGCTTTTTTTATCACCCTTTTAAACCTTATAATTTCTTGTTTCGATCCCACTATTGCACGATATGCGGTTTTCGAACCACCACTTGTTGGACAATGATTTTTTTTCAAACAAGCTAATTTCAATTTTCTTTTTTTCAGTTTATAGTCGCCATCCTTTTTGTTATAATAGGAGGTTTGAACATAAACAAAAACAGAGACCACAGGGCAGCTGTTATAATTAACGACATTATTTTAATTTTTATTTTTCTCATATCCGTCATTAACGTTATCATTTCCGGTTTTGGTTTCGAATATTCAAGTCAACCCCTAAGATTAATATCCGAGCCAATTAGATAATCGATTCAGGTTTTCTGTTTAGGTAACAGCTGGCTTACTCTCAGTACTAGTAGCTGTTTTGAGGACTTACCAAGATGACAAAATTGACGTATTAGTCACAATTTTCAATCAAGTTTCTGTGGGATTCGTCACAGGGGCTCTATTTTGTGACGTTATTAAAATGAACTTTGGTCTTGACCCTGCTTTAGCAGTAAACGAAACTTTTGTTATCAAAAATTTGCCTAATTATTGAGATCATTATTATTCATTCACCATTTTTATTTTATTTTTTTTTGTTTTTTTTTTTTAATTAAAGGTAGTGCAAGCTTGCCTTTGCGTTATGCTCGGTTCTGCATTGAACATCAACAAAGAGGAACACTGTCCCAACGCCAATAAGGCCAACAATATCATTTTGTGCATGAATATTGTATTAATGGCGGTTAACGTTTTGATTGGGACTTTTGAAATGAAAGATGCTGCGGAAGTGTTTGATTGGTTGTCCAATCAAACGACTACAGAAGTTCCATAGCCCAAAAACTCGAAACTCATCAAGTTGGATTTAAACTACATAATAAATTCATAACATTTTTGGCGAGACTCCAAAGACCAAAGCATATCATTATTATTATTATTATTTCTTACATTATGATCAACTTAATTAATTCGTATACTAATGCAGGGGTTTATTATACCTATGTACAGTCAAGTTTCCAGAGTTTTCAATAGCTCTGTTCCAACAGACATGAGAACCTTTCCAGAAACAGTAATTTCCAGTTGCCCACCTATTTTTCTATAAGTTGAACGTTTATTCTAATTGATAAATAAATTAATCGACTGGAAATTACCGTTCTAGAACGGTTCTTATCATGTCTGTTAGAACACAGTTATTGATGTTTTAGAAGATGGTTCATAATATAAAAAACTTATTCATATGATTATTTAGCATCTTCTCTATAACCCTTAAGATCTCATAATATCACATTGTATTCTGCAATTTCCTATTCTAATAATATTTTAAGGTTTGTTATACAGTAGGTAATTCATTATGATATGTTTATGAATGCTTCATATCTTTTAAATTTAGACAATAGAGTCCTTTCTTCCGGCTTTATATTTTATATTTATGCATGACAATTATGTATCTATTAAATTCTATAAAGGCTATCTATAATGGTATTTAATATAAACCTCATAAGTATTTCATTGTTAGTTTGTTAGAAGTACCCATTTAAGTATCTAGCTTAAGACTATATTTTGCACCAAATTCTTTAGTTTATTTAACTATATCTTATCTAAATTAAAAACTAATTATTATTTATGTGATAATACCTACTTACCAATGGTAATTTATGTTAGGTAACCTATTTTTGTATAATAAAATATTTATTTGCTTGATTTCGAAGAAATTTGGTTTCATATATAGGTACCTATACCACCCTATAACTACCTACCTTTGCTTTGCTTTTGGCTAAGCTTTAATAAAGCAAGAATACCGCGATAGTTATCGATGGAAACTTTTTTAACAAGAGTATACATTATCTTTGATATCGGTCTCCAACGTATACGTTTTCCGATCCCCAAATCATCTCTGTTATTCCAGAATCCAAACTTCTCTAAATGCTTCTTGGTTATAGTTTGGTGTTGGGAAACATCTTAATTCTTTGTATTTTTGAAAAATATGAATTATGAAACTTAACAGGTCTAGATTCCTATACCTTGTATATTGAATTTAATGCTTTCACATGAGACTTCAAATGGAGATTCGCTTTAACTCTCCCTTCCTAGTTTCAAAATCTCCTATAGAATGAGATCTAAAATGTAATGTTTTGATCCAGTACGTTTCTGTCCCAGTTCCATCATTTTGTCCTGGGAGAATTGGATATTATTTCTCGGAGATAGCATTTTTAAATTCGATTTCCTAGCGAAATAATAGTAGGAGGAATCAATAATGAAGAAATATTGTCGGAAGGTAAGTCTTTTCCGTTATGTTTTGTCGAAATTTAAGAAAATTCAAGAACTCGGAACAGAAGAAACTGAAACATGAATGCCTCACTTATCTCTACCGAATTTTTTTTTCTCAATTTTTCCGTCACAATTATTATTTATTATCGGCTCTTGAATTTTCGTTTTATATAATTTAAGAACTTGGAATACAAACAAAACTACTTCGTGTCTGCCAATTTTTCCTCATTTCTTCTTGAATTTCTATTCTCTATTTCTCAATTTTTTCCAGCTCAATTTTCGTCTATTCCTGGCTCTTGAATTTCTTGAAATGAAAAAAATTCAAGAGCCTATATATGGAGATAGAGAAAATATGACTACACTCATGTACCAATTTTTTCTTCTAAATATTGTCACAACCCCCTATACGTTTCGTCCTGGGACGTCACAACAGGAGCGTGACTTGGGGGCATAGGTGGGGTTCATGTAGAGAGAAACTCGCTTGCTATAGGTATAATAAGATGTGTATTGATTAATAATAGTTATTACCCTAGAAATGGTATCATGACGTCTCTTCTATGGAGGGACGTACTACTTAAGGGCCACTCTGTATTGATTATGTACCCTCTGTACACTTGGCGTGACTGAAGACTGAAACTAGGTTTGAGACAGGTCCAGAAGGGCGTTTCCCATTAAAGGTAGTTTGCACTGGACCTAGTCTGCTGCGTTTATTACTCTCAATGGGGCGTTTTCCATTAAAGGTAGTTTGCACTGGGAGGAGACTTAGCTAGAAGGGCTTTTCCCATTAGAGGTAGTTCGCACTAGCCTTAGTCTGCCGGTAATGAATTTCGGCGCTGTATTTATACCAAATAAATGCTGACTCGTCGACACACTTTGGTAAAATTGATGTACTAAAGTGGTATTTACTTAAGTAGTTGACAATATTTCTCTGTTTCTAATAATTTTTCCTCATTTCATCTTGAATTTCTATTCTCTATTCCTCAATTTTTCCATCTCAATTTTTAGTTTATTTCCGGCTCTTGAATTTGTCGAAATAGAGAAAATAGGGAACTTGCATATTAAATTAAATATGGAATAAATAATAGAACACAATAACAATCGTTCTAATAAATGATGCAATTAGGAAAAAAATATAATATCTTATCTCTGGTGTCCAAAATCTTCAATTGAAAATACCAAATAATTCGAAATTCATGACGCGATCAAAAACGTATTTCTATGGGTCTGGGTCCTGACGTCACAAGGCAGTAATAATCGGGTCGCGCCACTGCCACGCCATGTGCTGCTGGTGTTGTCAATGTCAAATCTATCATAAACGGCATACATAACCAATCTAAGGCGGCGTTCCGTATCTTAACCAGAGTTACCGATTGGTATGGAGCGGTTCGTTTATGGTGACAGTCTAGTTCCTGAATATGCGGTTTATGTCTGTAGTTTATGTGTGGAACCGCGTTTCATAACCTAACCAGAGTTCAGGAGTGGTAAGGTGACGGAACGTTTACCGGAAAAACCAAAAATCTTGGTTAACTTACGGAACGTGTCCTAAATCTACCTGCTCGAAGGTCACTTTCAACCAAGAATATTCAACGGAATTTTGTTGCCGAGTGACGTCACACTAATAGGTCGTTTCAAATGGTGATGTTTCGAGCGTAACTTCAAATATTTATAAAAAATTAACGGCTGATTTTTAATGCTTGATATTTGGTATGACTATGTCTTTAGTGTAATAGAACACATTTTTGAAATAAAAAAAAAAATGTGCAAGTTCCCTATTATCCAGGCTCTTCAATTTTCTCTATTTAGACAAATTCAAGAGCCGAGAATAGAGAAAACATGAATATAGGTAAGTACTCTTGAAAGTAATTTTTTCTCAATTTTTCTTCAATCTTTTCTCTCTTTATATTTCTCAATTTTTGCCTGTTCCCGGCTTTTGAATTTACGATCCATCGTACGTTCGCCAATTCTCGAGTCGGCAACTGGTCTGCGAGTGGCATCACCCCTATCAGCATACCGGTGACGTCACCCGCGGACCTAGATGGATTGCTTGCGAAAAAGGGATTTTAAAGTTTAGGAATTCGTTTTTTTGATCTATGAGCTGTTTTCTCGCGTCCACTTTTTTGAAACTGGTTCAAAACAGGTTTGAAATAAGTATATTCTCGCGATGAACTCATGACGTCACGTCAAAATTGGTTCAAACCGTTTCGAAATACAATCCAATCCAATCCACGTTTTTAAAGTATTTTCTCGCACTAAGAAGTTATGACGTCATTATGAAACTGTTTTAAATCAGTTTTGAAAAATTTTTCACAACTTTGAGACGCGAGAAAACGCCTATAGTCTTTAAAACTCGGATACTGCACAAGCAATGAAATTCACTCGACACTTTGTGATTTCTGTGACAAAAAACTTATGAATTGCCAAAATCAATTTATAATGTCAATCCAGATATTGATATCTGAAGTTGAAATATCGATACAATTCAAGGCGCATCGATATTTAGCTTGAAAAGGGGATTCACAGAAAATTAGGCAATCCCATGACCTGTCAAATGAAATTCAATGGAAGTTATAAAGGCTGTGGTCCGAATATAATTACACAATCAAACGAACTTACCTGATGTTCGATTGTGATTATATGCTGTTGCACTTCGTCCGAATAGATCACTATATAACTTGTAGTACCTCTACTTTCTGCCAGATAGCGCCACAGAGTTTAAAGAAAAAAGGAACGCGCCCCACGCCTTGTCATGCTCCTTGACGGGTGACGCGTGAACTGTCAGTCTCTGTTTAAAGATATTTTTTCCAGTAAAGGCGGGGCATTGCACCCGCATTCAAAAATCCTCAAAAATCAGAATAATTATATGACATAAAGATATACCTACTCTTCATATGGGAGGGAAGGGTGGGGTGATCTATTCGGACGAAGTGCAACAGCATATAATCACAATCGAACATCAGGTAAGTTCGTTTGATTGTGTAATTATATGCATTTGCACTTCGTCCTCTAGATCACTATATAACTTGTAGCTGTTTAAAGCTCTTACTGGTAAAAATATTAATAAAGCAAAAAATTCAAATGTTAATACTTTAATGCATTTCATTTTTCCATATTTATCATTCATATTATGACTGAATACTGAATAAACAAATGTATAGATACATTAAGTATTTTGTTTTCTTAAAATAGCTTTTGCAAAACCAAATTCATTATAAAGGGGACGATGGTAAAATTGGGCAAAAGTCCCAGAATTTTCACTCCAACCAGCAGTGGTCCTAATAACATCAATAGAGATTCCTTGGCTCCATGCTTTTGATGTGGAAGCATGTCTAGTTGAATGAGGTTTAAACTGGTCAGTATTAACTCCGGCTCTCGTCATTGTTAACTTTACCCAATTTGATAAAGTTTGCTTGCTCAGTTGTCTTAATGGCTCCTTTTCAGTGATGAATAGAAATTCTAAGTTAGTTCGAAGAGTTGCTGTTCTTTCCAGATAATTCAGTAGTGTTGAAGCCACACAGAGTGATGGGTTTTCATCAAAAAATGGTATTGTCAAACAAGGCTGGCTTCTGCCTGGTTTAGAAGTTTTGATTATATCCGGAATAAGGATTTGTAATCCCTGTGGATTAACAATTATATTTTCTACTTTAATTAAAGAGAGGGTTTGTAACCTTTGGCCTGTTATGAGTGTAAGAAGCATTATTAGTTTCATGCCTAATTCTTTCAGTGACAGTGTTTCATTAGGGGTTTTTGTTTCTAAGTAATCCAGGACTATTTTAGGGTCCCACGTTATTTTGTATCTTGGTTTGCTTGGTCTTCTTTTTTGAGATGCCCTTCAAAAATCTACAGATTATTAGGTTTCTACCTATATCACCTGGTAATACTAAAGCCAGTGCTGAACGACATGAATTAAAAGAACCATATTTCCACTTTTTAGTTTTCGACATGTGCTGTAAAAATTTTAGGACTTCAGTTACTTCTGCCGTATACGGGTTAACATTTGCTTCTTCGCAGAATTGCCACCATTCTTTATAAATAGAATTGTACTGTTTAAATGTGTTTTCTGATAGTGATTCCAGGCATGTTTGGATTGCTTCCTCAGGAATTTTCTTCAGTTGGAAGGCTTTCCCGACAAATGTGCTGCCACCAGGGTAAGTGTTGCTGCAAGTGGATGTTGAAGTCTAAAAGGAGAAGACAATAGATTAGGCTGTGGCTTAAACTTTATAGGCTGGCCTACTAGTAATTTTAGATAAAGTGGATACCAAGGTTGGGACTGCCAGTTAGGTAGAACAACTATGCCTTCAGCTTTATCTTGGACAATTTTGTTTAGTACTTTAAGTACTAATGAGAATGGAGGAAAAGCATACAAATATAGGTTTGTCCATGGCACAGTGAAGGCATCAATGGCCTCACATCCTGGGTCTTTTAGCCATGAAAAATATCTATCACATTTCGTATTTGCCCTAGAAGCAAATAGATCAACTTCTGGGTATCCATATTTAGCGACAATCATAGAAAAAGCTGATTGGGACAATTCCCACTCAGTTTCCTCTGACAATATTCGTGAACTTTCATCTGCTATGTTGTCTTTTGACTTTACATAAGAAGCTAAAAGCCATATATTTCGAGCCTCGCACCATTGCCATATTTCTTTAGTAATTTCATTCAATGCTGGATGTTGTACACTACCCATTTTATTTATATACGCAACTGCTGTGGTATTGTCCACTCTTAGCAGTATGCAGATTGATTTTCTGTCATTTACAAAACATTTGAGGGCGAAATAAATAGCTTTGAGTTCCAAAATGTTTATATGCAGCTCTACTTCATGACTGTTCCACCATCCATGAACTGTTTTTTCATTACATACTGCCCCCCAACCAGTTTTACTAGCATCAGTATAAATTTCAAATTGGGGTGTTTCTAACCTAATGTTGTTATATGCATGAAGCAAATTGATTTCCCACCAGTTCATGTCTCTTTTCAGATTATTGGATATTGAAACTACTTTATTATAATCCCCATTACACTTTTTCAAAGCTAAGTATTTTTCTCGCTCAATAGATTTAGTATACAGTCTTCCATATTTAACAGCTGGACAAATAGAAACTAATAAGCCAGCAATGTGAGCCAGGAATTTAATTTTACATTTAGAACTATTTTTCAACTTAGTAATTGAGTTCTTGATTTTGTTATATTTTTCTTGGGGAAGTTTTATAATCATGTTGTTTGTATCAAAAATAAATCCCAAAAATAAACAACTAGTTTTTGGGGTTAAATTGCATTTTTTAAAATTGACTAAGAAACCCAACGATTGTAATGTTTCTACAACAAACCTGGTATTTTTATTAGCTAATGAAATTGAGTCATGAATTAAAATCCAATCATCTATGTATGCAACACAAGATATTCCCTTGCCTCTAAAATATTTTAGAATTGGTCTAATTATTTTTGTAAATAAGTAAGGAGCAAATGAGATCCCAAATGGGAGAACTTGAAACTCATAATAGTTACCTTCAAAATGAAATCTTAAGAATTTTTTAAAGTTTTTATCAATTGGTATTGCAAAATAAGCATCCTTTAGATCAATTTTTGTTAGGTAGGAATTTTGTTCCAGCAGCTTACACACTGTTCGCCCATCCTCCATTTTAAAATGGGGTGGATTCAAGAAAACATTTAAGTTTTTTAAGTTAAGTATAAACCTGTATTTTCCATTTGGTTTGTCCACTAAAAAGTAAGACGAAATAAACTGACCTTCAGTAGCTGCACACAGTTTTACTGCACCTAGATTTATTAATGAATTAATTTCCAGTTTAAGCTTTGTTTTCTCACTGTTGGAGAAACGCCTGTTCACGATTCCATTTTGCTGTTGAGGGGTTGAATGGAAAGGAATTTTGAAACCTTTCAACCAGGAAATTACTGCTTCGGAAGCTCCCAGGGCTTTCCAATTTTGTATAAAATATGGCAACCTACCTACTGCTGGTAAGGGTAAACTACAACTTACTTTTATTTGTTCTTCCTCGGAAATTGTTTTTTCTTGTAATAAACACTTTGGTTGGAGTGTTGCTGATATTGCTGGCGATAGCGAGGTTTTTGCTGGGAATTTTGGCCCTGTTGTTGACGAGGTTCCCCCTTCCTCGAAGGGCCATATAAGTTTAAATTCTGTTTCAAATTTAAAGGTGGCCTTTTGGTTTGGTTCACCAAACTAATATCTTTCGCTGATCTTTCAGCAGCTTTAGCTGTTTTCAGCTTTTCCCCAAAGTTTTCCCCATATAGATATTTATCAACTGGGGTTGTTGCAGCTAACTCCACTACAGTTTTATTTAGTGAGTTATTGATCATGGACCTTCGCTGAATTGACAACTGATTTTGTAAACCAGAATAATGTCTGACCACGTCAGAAATAATTGAAATATATTCCTTTTTTTGAATATATTCTCCTTCGTCCTGCAACATTTTGTTGAGTGTGTACAACAAAGTACCTAACCCCTTTGCATTTTGTTCTTGAGTTTGTGTCATATATTTATCTTTGGTTAGGGAGATTTGCTGTAAAGAAGCCGATATTTCTGGGTTGAGGATTGGTGGCCCCAAGTTTATTTCCTTTGGTTGGGGGTAATTGGATAACAGGGTTTTCTTAAGCTCTTTGTCTAAGCCTTTTGCTAATATAAAGCTTACCCTTTTAGACAGCTCTGGGTGAAGGTCAAATATATTTTTGTCGGCTCCTTCTGGGTCCTCCCCCAGGCAATTCATAATATCATCTGATAAGTCTATATTGACTGTATCTTGAGGGGTTTGGGCTTGAGCCGCCGGACTACTCGAGCCCCGATCGGTTCTGAATACTGGAGTAGCCGAGCTTCTCGAGTCTCGGTCTGCTCGTGAAAAGGGGGTCGCCGGGCTTCGCGAGCTGCGGTCGACAGTGGAACTTGTATGAGCCATGCTATGCCAGTCATGGACTTCGGCCGAGCCACTCGGGTCACGGTCCTTATTCCTATCTAAGGTTTTCCTACCTTGTTTTCGCCTCTTTGTTCGCCTTTCCTTTGATGGAGATGGAGACCTGTTTCTTCTGCGAGAACGCGTTTCTATGGATGCACTTTGTCTTCCAAACGAAGGCGAACGCTTTCGCTTTTTCAGATCGTCTAGCTTCTTTTGAAGCATTTCCAGTTCTGAGTCTATAGAAGAGGATCTAGGGGATCTTCTTCGGGACTCGTTTTCTAGTTTCCTTTTATGTTTTCCCATTACTTTATTCAATTTTATTGAAGAGATAAATTTTTTGCGCCTTTTCTGTGCACAGAAAATAAAGACTGACAGTTCACGCGTCACCCGTCAAGGAGCATGACAAGGCGTGGGGCGCGTTCCTTTTTTCTTTAAACTCTGTGGCGCTATCTGGCAGAAAGTAGAGGTACTACAAGTTATATAGTGATCTAGAGGACGAAGTGCAAATGCATATAACCAGGGTTATAGTTTCGCGGTCCGAAAGTAGTCAAATTACTCTGGTTCCTGTAAAAGTGGTTACTTTTGGACCTTGGTTTCCTGAAATCTGGTTAACCAAATGTCAAAATAGTTACCGACTATCGAATGTCGGTTCTATTGTTGGTTTTATCCAATGTTTTATCTTTTATCTGTAGATTCTGTCAATTATTTTTTATATCCTATTCGCGTTCCCCAAGTAACCGGAATTTTCAGTAACCATCTGTCAACTGATTCGGTTACTTTGGTTAACGTTTGGTTATATTCCATAGCCCTAGTTTTACCGACTGGTTGACCAAAAGAGCGAACAAAGAACTCCCAAGGAGTTACACTTTTTGCTCCGAATGCTTTAAACACGCTCCAGGTTGTTAATGCCAGAATTTACTCTCAAGAAAAAAAGAAGCACCATGTCAAAGAAATGGCGGGAAAAGTTTTTGTTTAAATCTAGGTTATGTTTGTTTTGTTTTATTTTTGTGTTCCTAATTATCTTTTTCCCTTATGTTATTCAGCATTTAAGTTGATTTATTTAATTTATCAAAAAAAAATGGAACTAAATAACGATAAAATAACAATAAATGATGAAATTAGTAATAGCGAAACGCAGGCCCCCAAAAAAAGTGATTTTGATACCTCAAAATCTTCAACTAGTGAATCTTTCATACCAGATCAGAATGCTGTATGTAATTCATTCGATACAACTTTAACAATATCAAATCGTTCAGCAAAACAAGACCTATCTTCAGCAATCCAACAGTCAAATGAAGAAAAAGTCAGCAATTGTATTCCAACTGCACTATTAGATGATAGTGATATTGAAGATGAAATTAACAATAGAAAACAGGAGCAAGGTAAAGCTAAAAAACATATAGCTTCTTTATTATCAAGTGATATTGAAGAAAGTGAAATTGAAGCTATTAATGAAGAGTCTAATACAAATCATGAAATAACTTCATTTTCTGCTGATTTGGATCCTAAAATCTTAATTATTGCTGAAAACAATGACACAAAAGAATCCAATAATGAAAATCTTATACAGCCACCTAAAACCCACAAAAGAATTACAATTTTTGATAGTGACAGTGACTCTGATCATTTGGAACACAGTAATGATAAAAACAATGACAAAGAGAAATCTCATGATGAAAATAGCACACCAATATCTAAAAACCACAAAAGAGCTACAATTTTCGATAGTGACAGTGATTCTAATGATATGGAGCATGATAAAGACTTGATTAATGATGAAAATCCCAAAGAACCATCTAAAAACCACAAAAGAGTTACAATTTTTGATAGTGACAGTGATTCTGATCATATGGATAACAATAAAAGCCCAACTAATGCTGTAGTTACAACACCAGGTCTTATACTAGAAACTCTACAAAAATCCAGACTTGCAATGCTGTGCGATTCTGATAGCGAAGAGGAACCTGAAAATCACAACTCCAGTAACGAAATTATAGAACAAACACAACCGGAAATCAAGCCAAAAGCCCAGAAGAAGAGCAAACCAACAAAATCCAAATTCAAAGAGCTAGGAGAAGTAGCTAAGGTGACCAATACAATTGAAGCAGCCAAACAACGCACAGAAATCCAATCAGAATCACAAAGAATGCTTAGAGAACGCAACATGTCTTTGCCCTACCACAAACCCAAAGCTCATAGTCTGAAGGACTTTTTAGCCAGACGTCCAAAACTCGGCCAGCCTTTAGCCAATAGAGCTCCTCCTTCTGTAGCCATCAAAATGACCACTGAACAACTAGAAGTGATTTCGAAGCAAATGCAAGAGCGTGAAAAACAACTCAAGGAGTTTTATAAGTCTGAAAGCGAATCTGATGGGGAATTGAATGGGAGCGATGGTGAATATGTACCACCAACTGATGAAGAAGAAAAAATTGAATCTAGTGAAAGCCCTAAAAATTCTTCTAATTTGGTGCTTATTGATGGAATACCTGTAAATTCTTCTTCTAGTGAAAGCACTAATGTCTCATCTAATTTAGTTTTAATTAATGGAGCACCTGTAAATGCTTCTTCTAGTGGAAGCACTAATGATGAAACACCTGTAAATGCTTCTTCTAGTGGAAGCACTAAGGCTTCTTCTAATTTGGTTGTTATTAACGGTTCACCTGCAATTGCTTCTTCAACTGATGATTCTGAAGAAGTAGTGGCCACTAAAAACAATAAGACTTCTTCAAGTGATGATATTGAAAAACTAGAGAATTCTTCTGAGTTAATACTTGACAATGAAACACCTGCCCCTTTGAGTGAGGAATTCAAAAAAACTCCAGAAGAAAATTCCCAAGATGAAATTTCTACTGAAACTGTTTCAATACACACACAGGAAATTGCTGAGTCAATTCAAATTGATGAAACACCTTTAATTAACAACTCAACTGGGGTTGTTGAAGAAACTCCTATTCCAACTGATACAGAAAAAGCTGTCACTGAGAAGCAACCATTAGTTCCAGAACCTGATTCAGAAATAATTGATGAGACTCAGAATGCAAAATTTATATATACTGACCTGGACAGAGAAATTGAAAATTATGGAAACATTGAAAAAGAACCACCTGTAGAAACATACAAATCAAAGCTACAACTTCTAAAGGAAAAATTGGCTAATGACAGACCCAGATTGAGTGGGGGTCCCAATGAAGTAATCGATCTTGATTTGAATGTATCAAAGCCTCAAGAAGTTGTACAATTGATGGAAAGATTTGCTAAGCACGCTGCTGCTAAGAGGCAGCATCATCATAAAGTTAAATTAAAGTAAGCTTAAAATATTGTGTATGTGTGTGATGGTGGTGTCAGTTGCACTGCGACCGTTGATCTGTTGTACCCCTCTTTCTGCTGCTAAGTTCAGGTTTCCTGCCTGAAGCAGACCCTCCAGTCCTAGGTCCTTAAGGAATTTCAAGATATCTGAGGGCTGGAATGTCATCCAACTGTATAAGGGCATTTTCTAGGTTCTTCATCCTTGAGCGACTAACTGCATCGTGAGGTGTCTTTTCTATATCTTCACAGAATCTGCAAGTGCCACCTTCTTCTAACCCCAACTTTTGTAGGTGTTTCTTGAATCTGCAATGTCCCCAGAGAAACCCGGTTAGAGTCTTGAGACTTTTCTTGCTCAGGTTGACTAGCAGTTTTGATCTTTTATGGATGAAGTTGACCAATAGATCTTTGGCCTGTCTGTTCTAGCCATTGTTTGTTCCTTAGCCGGTTTTCTTTTCTCATTTAGTTTCTGTAGACATTCCCATACTGTTTTAGAATTGTTGACCGGGGATCTCATTGCATCATTACAATCTCTCGTTTCCGACAACATCTGTTCAAGTTGAACTGCACGCATCTTCTGATTGCATGAAGTTCCGCTTGGTGATTTCTACATTGGATCCCAGTATCTGGTCCGTGGCCCAAATATTCCGGCTCCAGTTTTCTCAGGAGTTTTGGAATTGTATGTGTACCATTTGATAGTGTTTGCATGTTCCACTCGTTTTTTGTACTTAGTTTGATGGATTTTTTTTTCTCGAAACTGAATTTATCTTTTGGTAGATCCATGAGGTGTGCATAGTTTGGGAGAGGAAAGATTCTACCAAGGTGCGTTTTCCTTTGTAAACCTATCTTTTCCAATCTTAGACATGAGGCAACCCGCTTCACTATTATGTGGTGTGGTGTGGAGCCTAAAATTAGGTACTTTTAGTGCCGTGGTTGGGCATGATCTCAGTGCTCCTGTTATACAGACACCTGCGAGTCTTTACACTTTTTCTAGGATTTTCCAAGCTGTTACTAGCTGGGTTCGGCTATACCAGGCTACTGCTCCAAATTCATTGGCAGGTCTCACTATCATGGTATATATCCATCTTAGGATTGATGGGTTACAACCACCTGCAATGTTTTTGCAAACCATAGTGCCGAAATTGCTTTGTTTTTTGTGTTCTCTACATGTCGGTTCCAGAAAAGTTTTGAATCTACAGGGTTATTCCTAGGAATTTGACTTCTTTTTTCCAATCAAGTCTGCTTCCATAGAGGCGAATGTTTCTCAGGTTTGAGAGTTTCGTGCTTTTTGTAAATGTTACCAGTGTTTAGATTTAGCTCCACTGTCTGACACCATTCCTTCGTGGTTTGAAGTGCTTTTTCTATAAGGTTGCAGAGTGTTCCTTAGTATTTGCCTTTGGTTATGATAACAATATCATCGGCGTATCCAAAGTAGGTGAAGCTTTGATCGGTCAGTATATTTAGGAGGTCATCAACCACTAGACTTCACATCAATGTTGAGAGTACCCTTCCCTGTGAACATCCTGTAGTGGTGGTGATCTGTATGGTTTGTTCACCCATGTCAGTTTCTACAGTTCTGGTAGATGTGGTTTTGCTTAATAAAGTAATTTTTTTGTTTGTTTCAGTATTGTACGTGTTGAAACTGGAGGCGATATTCACCAAGAAGAACTATCAATGAACGTGCACAGTGACGAAGAGGACGTAATGGAAGAAAAACCAGGAGTGAAGTTTAAAAAGCTGAAACAAGAGTTACAAAAACAAATGGAGCAGAAAAAAGCGGAAATTTGGCAACAAAAAGCTTCTAAAGGAATAAGAGGCGGCCTGGAAAATGCTGATGAAGAAGAAGAAACTGAAAAAGACATTTTGGACTTTGACGAGGAAGAAGAAGCAATAATGACCGATGAAGAAGAAGAAGAGGATGATGAACTAATTGAAGACGACATTGACCTGACAGACAAACCAACAAAAAAATCAGCATTTTTAGATGAAGAAGCTGAAGAGGATGAAGCCTCAGTTAAAGAGGGATATGAAGACAATATTGAGGATGAAGAAAACGAAAATGACGAAGACAATGATGATGATGATGATACACCTTCAGAAATCGAAGAACCGAAAAAACCCTTAAAACGTATAATTAAACCAGCTGACGATTCAGACGATGACGATTTGTTCAACGAATCAATTGCACCAAAGTCCCCTTCACAACTAGATGCGACAATAACCGCTGACGAAGATGAAATTCCGCCCCATCAACCCCAGCGTCAATTCCAAACCCCCATGAGACCGGACCCCAGCCAAGCAAAATCCATTGCAGATTTTCTGACCCCCATATCTTTCATTACAAGCATACAGAATTTGAATTCGGCTCCTAAAAATACAACACCGTTTCGGATGCCTTCTGACTTGCAAACACCTGACAAAGAACAGAAAATGTGTCAAAAGAAACTATTTGGTTTTGATTCGCTAGAATCGCAAACTGAAGAGTCTTTTGCAGAATTAATGGAAGAGCCAACTGTTTCTATAGAAGATAGTCCAGATATACCTCCAAGTACGCAGGAGATGGCTAGTGTTTGTTCTGGAGCGTTTAGTGGTCTACAAATGGAATCTACTCAATTTGTAGCCCAAAGTAGTAGTGACTTGACAAGTTTAGGTGAAGAAAACAATATTATATCTCAATTATTAGACGAAGAAGAATTTGAAATTGATTCCTCCTCTGCAGTTGATGTTTCACAAATAGTTGAAACTGAACTACTTTCTGGAGGCAGGATTATTGATTCTGATGAAGAAGGTGAAGAATTGCAACAAATAAAAAAGAAAAATTGCAAGCCTTTGCAATTTTCTGATGATGAAAGTTCAGAGGAAGAAGTTGAAGAGGAAGAGGAGGAAATTGATTTGCAAGACAATGAAGGATTAGATGAAGATATTGCATACGATTCTGAGGAAAATGAAATCGATTTGAATGACAGACCAGAAAAAATTAAAATAGCTGATTTTGTTGACGCCGAAGCAGAGCTGTCTGAATCAGAATGGGGCAGCGAAGACGAAGACGAAAAAGGTCTTGACAAATTGGAATTTGAATTAGGAGATACTGAAAAATTTGACGATGAAAAAGTGAAATCGGATTTGGAAAAGATTCATATGAGACGTATGCTGGACGATGATACACGTGAAGTTAAGCTTCTTCAAGAGCTTCTTTTGGAAGATGGAGAAATGCATGGAACTGGCAGACAGAGGCAATTCAAATGGAGAAATGTTGATTTGACTGATGATCAAGATGAAGGCAAAAAGGACGATGACGATGTGTATTTGGATGATGAAGTAAGTGAAGAGCAATGGAGGAAAAACAGGCATGAAAGGGAGATGTTGCTTCAAAAGCTACAAGAAAAGAGTCAAAGTTTGATTGAAGACGATTCAAGTGGCAGTCAGTTGCTTGAATTGGGTAGAAAATTCTTGGAGAAAAGTGAAGATTCTCAAAATAATACTCCAAACGAAAAGGAAAAGCCTTCTAGCCCTTTCAAGCTTACACCTTTCAATCTACAGGTGTGTTTTATTTAATATTTTTTTTGTTTTGGGTGATATTAGATTGCTTTTTTAGAGTAAACGTGGTTCGTTCCTGAACAGAAGTGATCAAGTGCTGAAAAGAGTAGCTGAATATACAAAAATTGCTATTGCAAGCGATTCGAAAAAGACCACCAAACACTTTTTGTTCCAAAGTACTTCTGCAATTGAAAGTTCCATTGAGCAAGTGAGTATCATGACACTTTTAGTAGATTAGGAATTGGATAATGATGAGTCCATTTTGCTTGAGGTTTTTACTATGTTTTCAATAAATACTTCTATGGTGAATTATACAGGGTGTCCCAGCCGAGAGTGACCCATTTTAAATGCTTATAACTTTTGAACCAGGTGTGCTAGCTATAGTCGTAATCACAATAGAAAGTGAAGTTGACAGTTCGCGTTGACATATCTAATAACTTTTTCTATAGGTTGCCAGCATGCGTAAGCGTTTTCATTTCGTCAGCTAGGATAAACTACGGTCGTATTTAGAAAAATGATATACATTTCAGAATAAAAATTTATTTTTTAATTTCTTTAAAGAAAGTTAAGTTATTAAAATCCTGCATAGTAATAATATACATCTGTAATAGAACAAACGTAATACTTTCTAATAGTTGTTGCTGTAGCTGGCCGCCCAAGTACTCTGTTGATTTTTAAAGGTTAGATGGTATATGCGAGTGGTTTATTGATGTTAGTTATTTGCCTGGGTAGCTACAGAATTAAATGGTGAAGGGGGTTTACTTGCAAAAGAGAGAAACAACTGCAGTTTTTTTTGACACATATTATATACAGGGTGTCCGTTTTAAGTGATACCACTATTGCTATCTCGGAAACGGTAAGAGATACGAGGTCGGTTAAATTAGAAAAAAGTTTCCTTTTTTGATGCCCATTCAAGAATCGTTTACAGTGTTGCCGAATTCCTTTTAGTTTAGGAAATACAGGGTGATTTCTAAGAAACGCCTAAAACTATTTCATCAATTATTTTGAAAACTATTGATTTTCGGGACACAATTTAAATTTGAAAGTTTTATAATTTTTATCGCTTTACAACATGGGATCTTCAAATTTCAAATCCGACGTTTCGTGATCGAGCTACCATCATCAACTTCATTTTTTTAAATACGGACCTAGATTTTTTATATCATTTTTAGGAAGCTCCCTTTATTCCCTTTTTAACGATATACCTCTTAAGTATGATTGGCCGACGTTTCTGCTTTTAAAGGTCATCAGTGATTTTTACCTTAATTCGGCCCTGTTATTCGTTATTTGTAACAAAGGCGGTCTAACAAGTACTCTTTTCTTTTTTTTAGAACACTTAGAATTATCTAATTATGAACAATATCGAAAATAATGACTTAAAAACTAATTAATATTGTAAATATGTACTCAAATTGAAGTCCATTATTCCTTAAGCATCATCTGCAATTTTTCACGATTTTTTTTTTTTTTTAATATTATTTAATATGTATTGTTTTTCACGCAACCGTCCGCGAAATTCAATTTCGCGGCCGTATTATGACACATTCAATTTTTTTGACAAATTATGAATGACTTCTGATTTAAGAACCGACGAACATTTTTGACGTCATTATTTCTTTCAGTGAATTTCTATTTGTTAAAAAAAAAAAGGCAAATTATGTCAAAAGTATGAACCCTGGTGAAACAAAGTTTACATAACTATTATTAATTTTAGTACATGCAGCCCTTATCCTCTTGAATTCTTCTAATGTCTCTGGTATTTTCGTAAACTCCATAATTAAAATCACTGTACTCTTATTCATTTAACAATTGTTATAAAATGAATAAATAATAAAGAAATGTTTGACATGTTGCACAGCTGTCAATCTGATTTTTTTCAAGGCATTCTTTGATGAAATTTATTTATATTCCATATCACTGATGCCAACCTGAATTTGTGAAATTACAATAATATGTATGTACGTAATTAGTTTTTAAGTAATTATTTTAATTATTGTTCACAATTAGATAATTTTAAGTGTTCATTCAAAATTTTGTTAATTTTGTTCTAAATAATAAAGGAAAATAGTACTTGTTAGACCGTCTTTGTTATAAATGACGAATTCCAGGGCCTAATCAAGGTAAAATTTTGGTAAAAATCACTGATGATCACTTTTTCGAGCAGAAACGTCGGCCAATCATACTTAAGAGGTATATCGTTGAAAGAAGAATAAAGTGCGCTTTCTAAAAATAACATAAAAAATATCCAGGTCCGTATTTGAAAAAATTAAGTTGATGATGGTAGCTCGATCACGAAACGTCGAATTTGAAATTTGAAGATGCCATGTTGTAAAGCGATAAAAATTATAAAACTTTCAAAAATCAATTGTGTCTCGAAAATCAATAGTTTTCAAAATAATAATTGATGAAATAGTTTTAGGCGTTTCTTAGAAATCACCCTGTATTTCCTAAACTAAAAGGAATTTGGCAACAATGTAAACAAATCTTGAATGGGCATCAAAAAAGGCAACTTTTTTCTAATTTAACTGACCTCGTATCTTTTACCGTTTCGGAGATAGCAATAGTGGTATCACTTAAAACGGACACCCTGTATATATTTAATTTTAAATAATGGAACTCAAATTTTTCTAATAATAATATACAGGGTGTCCCATTGAAGATGGGAATTGGGGTTATCTGCTAAACTCGTAGAGGTAGATTTTTTTTGTTTCCACATTCCGGGGCCAATTTTTCATGACGAATTGAATGCCGCAAACCGTAGGTCTCTATCTTGTTTCGTTTTGGAGATACAGGGTGAAACTTGAAATGTTCACTTTTCGAGGGTAGTCATTATCTAGCGTATAAAAAAAGCTTTCAAAAAAGTGAAAATTGTATCTGACGCAGTTTTTTACGTAGATTTCATTGGCGTACTGGAATTTTTTTTCCGAAGTACCGCTTGAGAGATATGACACAAACTTCATCTTTTTTAAATGGGACACCCTGTACATTTTTACATTTTTGGAATACACATAAAATTACCTTTCCGATGATATATAATTTGTCTATATTCTCAGATTATGTTGTAACTTGCCAATATTATCATGGTATTTGAAACTTTCCATAAGAACCTTTGGAAATCGCATTGAATATGGTTTTATTTTCTGGTTCAATGTGTGAGAAACTTTTGATATGGGACTCCCTGTGAAATAATAGTTTATCGAGGACCGGTTTATTCATCTTCTGATGAACTCTCAGATATACAATATGACGGATAAAAATTCAATCTGCAATCCCATTGAAGTGAATAAACCGGGCCTAAGGTCATCATCATACAATAGGCGATGATTCGATACCGAGTATGATATTCTCCTATTGTTTTTAATGTCGTCAATTGTGCATTTTCTAATGGCTATATATACCAATTTTGGAACCCCACACTCTTCCACAATCTTGGCAAACCCAGCCTCTGGCAACATTGGTCTCTTCCTCTGCTCTCTCGCTCCTTCCTGCGGGCCCTCTTTTTGGTCTCGTGTCTGCGTCGCTGTTTTTCAAAAGTTTGTGGTCCGTCGTGGACTACTCAACGCCATTAAGGCCTATAATTTGCCGTCGTCTCTCAGATGCAATGACGGATGAAAACGCAATACCTATGTATTCCCATTGGTCCGCCAGTTATCTGCCGACCACTAGAATTATGGAATGGTAAATTTTCCTTGCAATTAGTTTCCAGCAAAGTTTATCTGAATAAGGCCCGGTTTATTCATCTTCAGATAAACCTACTACTAACTATCTGCAAGATAAATTCACTGATCTATAATCCTATCGGTTAGCGGATAACTGACCGACCAATGGGATTACAGATTACGTTTTTATCCATTAGAGTGCATACCATACCTGACAGTCTATCAGAAAATAGATAAATTGGCCTTTAATCATATTTTTTTCCCATTTCAACGATATAGATATTACACTTCGTTGGACACATAGCGATTTGTGGCATCGTGTAACGTGGGCTCGTGACCAACATGTGTCCAACGTTGGCCACACTCAACGTTCGGGCCAAAGTCGGTAAATTTGACCCGCTTCAAAAAAGGCTTCCAATGTTGGACAGAGGTTGGAGACACTGCCACACAAGGATTGACAGTCGTCCATTTTTTAGGTTAGATTCAGTGGCGCTATAAAAAAGTTTATTTTCCGATGCTTGTCCTGACTCGTGCTACTTTGAAACGAAACGGCACTGACAACGATACTCCAACCTTTGTTCCAAGGTTTGTTCCAATGTGGGAAGGAATGTTTGCCTCGTCGTGTAGCGGCACATTTGCCAAATCCTAGAGTGCCAAACATTGTACCCAACGTTGGATCTAACGTTGGGACCAATGGCTGGACACATCGTGTGGCGTCGGCTTAAGGCCAGTTCATTTATCGTTAGATAAACTCACTGGCAAGGTCCTCCCTCCGCAGATTTTAAGCAACTAGAGAGAAACCAAACCAATTGGCAACTTAAATCACCAACTATGGAATATGGATCACACACGATGCTACTGAAAAATCAAGTCAAATCTTGATTATAGTAGCTTTGTTGTGTTTAAATTATTATTTTATTATTATGATAAGGATATTGTTATTATCCTAGCAAAAATGTTTAATAATCCAAGATATTATCACTTATCATAAAAAAGAATTCGGCACAAGAAAATGGGTATTGGGTTTATCACTACATTCAAAAAAAAAAAAAATGCATATAGGATTTGAAGTAGCCTAAAATTGAAGGATTATTCTCCAATTTTCGCCGTTTTGCGTGCTTGTTCATAGGATAAAATAGAAACTAATCGCCAAGCGACGCTGCATGTCGGATTGCGGCTAACAGATCACCGACGAGTTTCCTTACTAGCGAGTTGTGTTGCGTGCGGATGCTCATTGAAATACACAAGCGGCAACTAATAAGCAACTGATTGACGATTCAAGTTTCTAGTAAGTTTGTTTCCAGTTGCCCAATGTGCGGAAGATCTAAAGCCTAACTGTCTACAAGATAAATTGGCCAATCCCTAATCTCATTGGTTTTCGGATAACTGGCCAACCAATCGGATTATTCATAGATTACCAGTTTATCCGTCATATTACATTGCCTGACAGTTTATCAGAAGGTGAATAAACCGGGCATTAGACTATTAAATGCAGTTACTGAGCATTAGTGAGATATTTGATTATTTTTTATAGGATATATGCTGTAGG